TACGATTTGGAGCAAATTTGTTCTTCAGCAAAAAGGAGAAAGGGAGCAAACGGAAAGATTCGGGCGTCGGGGCACCGCCCGCCTGGGTCAACTCCCGGAGTAAAGCACCGTCAGGCACAGCCCCCCAAATCATGGCCCCCTCCGCCCCGTCCCCACACGCAGGAACTCCTCCGGGATCTTCCCAGGGCGGGAAGATGACAACACGACGCCCGCGGGTATTTTTAGCCGCCTCCGCGCATCCGCTCTTCCCCCCGCGCGGCATCGGCGCCCGCAGCCCCGCGCAGGAAGCGCTGCGCCGGCCGATAACGCCCGACCCCCCCGGGCCTCCTCGGGCGGTTCCGGCCAAGGAGCAGCGGGGCCGGCGGGGCCGGCCGAGGGCAGACACCTCACTGCCTAAAATAGCTAAACCCGACCTAAGCGCTTAAAACCTTAAGTCCTACCCGGGGGAAAAACAGCGCCGGAGGAGGCAGCGCAGATCTCAGGGATGCAAAGGGAGCGGTGAGAAAGAAATAAAAGAGTACTTTAGAAGAACAGCGCTCGGAGGACAGCGCAGACGGGCTGAGTCGTGTGGCAGTTTGGGTTTGATGCGGGAGGTGGATCGTGCCATCCCCGGAGCTGTGCGTGCTGGGAGCAAAAAAACAGTGATTGGGGTCCATTACTGCCCCCTCACCCCACAGAAATGCCGTATTTTTGCCCAGCAGCATCTGTCTGGCCTGCATAAAGTACAGCAAAAAGAACACAAGATGGGCAAAGTTAAGATGAAGCGGGGCTGAGCAGCACCAGCCATAAAAAGCCCTGGGGCAGAATGCTCTGGGCACCCCGGAACATCCCACTGAGCTGGCCTTGAGATAAAGCCCTGAAATCTTTCAGAGATGGGAGACAGCAACAAATACATCCATCATTGCTCACAGGATGCCACGGCCATGAGCAAACAGTTCTGCACCGACTGCCTGTGTCATCGGGCTGTTTTCCACCAGCGAGCCCCAGGATTGGCCTCCAGCTCTCCCAGTTTGCCCAGCCCGGGCCGTTTTCCCCATGCAGTGAAGCTCAGTGGATGCATTCTTAGAGCAGCTCCATCCCTCCCCACTGAAATTTAGCACTTATCACTGGGGAAATCCTTAAATCACTGCAGACCCACAGCGCTCACCACGGCTCCCTTTGCTGTTAGGAGTGTGCATTAACTCTGAAACCTACCGACAGCCCAGCAGCACTGAGCCCACAGCACAGCTCAGTCATAAATCTCGGAGGCAGATACAAGATTGTGGCTCCATCCTCACACCCAGCGTGGTGGGGTGTCCTCAAAGTGCGAGCACTGCCTTGCTGGAGGACCCTGGCATCCAAAATCACTCTTTTTCTTGGGGAGGTGCCCTGCAGCCCCTCACTGCAGGAGGAATCGCCCTCCAAGTGCTGCTGCCCGGCTCTGGTGGGGACGCAGCCCCGAACCCTTCGGTGTGCAGCACTGCCGTTGGCATCAGCTCCAGATTTAGCCACCTCGCCACTGCAAATCCCCTAATGCTTTAACCAGATCGAAAAAATTAAGCTGCTTGGGGCGTGCATATGCATAACGGCGGGGGGGGGAAAGGGCCCTTCATGCACTGCCCTCCCTGGAGGCCACCCGGCTGCTGTTTGTTTGGGATGAAAAACGCCGATTTCATCCAACCGCCCTGAGCTAAGCACCTGCCCAGGGAGGGCTGCTCTGCCTGAGCCCATCTGCCGGGTTTTTTTCCTTTGGAAAAAGCCTTTAAATCCCCGCACACCTCCAGCAGAGCTCTACAGCAAACTGCTGCACCTGCACGGAGCACCGTGACCCCGAGGGGCACCCCGTGTCCCATTGGTAAACCCCACTATTTCGGCCCCAAATGCCGCATCTCCCACCGAAACACACCAGAACCATCCTCGTGCCCAAAGCATCCTCCCCAGAACCGCAGCCCCCAGGCGGACCCTATAAGCCACTAACCACCAGGAATTAATGAGCTGAAGGCGGATTGCATCCGATGCCCTCGCTCTATAGGATTAAGGCGATTTGGCCATGTGAAACCGAGACAGAAATTAAACCGAGAGATGACGGCTCGGATTGAACGCGCTCCTCCAGAGCGGAAACGGTGCCAGAGAGGGAATGTGGACGGACAGCGGCCCCGAGAGCCTCGAGAAAGGTCAAAGGACCCACGAGGAAGCGCTGCACCCAACCCGGCCCCGATGGTCCCCCCAGCCCCGCACTATTTATAACTGGGCAGATAGGGGCTGTGCTGCGCCCGTTGGGAACAGGCACGGCGGCCGTTCTCACGACCCAGGGGCAGAAAGCGCCGTATCCTCTGGAGAGCCAAAATCAGGAAAAAATGCGACTTTGCTATAGATAGACACGGACGGGCGGCTTAACCCCTGCGGCTCAGCGCCGGCGTGGGGACACAGCAGCGGGCATTCAGCATCGCCCCCCTCTCCTTTCCTCCTTCCCATCTTTCCCCCATCGTTTGTTCTGCAGTGACTCCACGCAGACCCACCAGGTGCCAAGGGATGCTTGATTCTGTCATTCTGTGTGGGCGCCCAAAAACAACGATTTGGGCCCTAAGCGCCTTTTCTCCGTATTTCTGCACTCTGAGGCTGAGTTGGGTCCTTCCTGCAGCGCCGCATCCCCACAGCCGGGCACACGGCAGGGAACCTGCTCACAACCCCCCAACAGAGCAGCGCCTCATCCCACCACGCTTTAATTAACGCCCTTTAATAATAATAATAAAAACGGAGTAGCACAACCACAAAGCGGCTCCACTGGGGGCAGGGAGCGCCCCGCCGGGGAGGAAACACCACCCATTGTCCCCATTGTCTTCGGGGCCGTTTCCTCCTCCTCGAAGGAAACTCGGAGGGCTGCGTCCCTCCCCAGCACCCCCGGCGCCTGCAGCCCCCCCCCTTCGACCCTCAGGAATAGGGCAAAAGAAGGGAAAAAGCCCGGGGACGGAGCGGGGCACGGCGGAGCAGCCCGGGGGCAGCGGCACACACACACGGGGGGGGGGGGCGGCAGGTTTGATGACGGGAAAAAAATACATCGATTTTTTCCGCTCGATGCCGAGCGGGAGGGGGGAATTATCGGCGGGGAAATGCCCCCGGTGCGAGCAGAGCACAGCGCGCCCGCGCCGCGGGGTTCGGCTCCACGGGGCGGTGCGGGGTGCGGTGCCGCGGGACCCCCCGGACCCCGAGTGTCGGCCTCCCAGAGCGCCCGACGGGCGGCATCGCGACATCAGCGCCCCCCCCCCCCCGCTCCCCGCCCGCTCCCCCCGGCCCTCAGCGCCTCCCGCCGCCCCCCGCTCGCCCCCCCGGCCGCTCCCCGGTCGCGGTTCGCACGAACCCCCGGCGCTCACCCAGCAGCGCGCCCAGCAGCAGCGCGCCCGGCGGCAGCGCAACCATCCCGGAGCGCAGCAGGTGCCGGGACGGGGGGGGGACCGGGACGGGGGGAGGGCGGAGCTCAGGTGGGCACCGCCCCGCAGGTGGGGGCGGGGATTGTGGGGCGGGGCGTCTTGGCCCCGCCTCCCGGGGTCCAAACTGCCTCCCCTCCCATCCAATCAGACCTTATCACTGATTATTTATTAGCTATTAGGGCTATTAATAGTTAATTGTGATATTAGGGCCATTATTGTGGAAGGAGCCCAGTGCCCCCGACACACTTCTTCTCTTCTTCTTCCTCATCCCGTGCCCTGGGATAAAAGCATTAATCCTTAAAAAGAATAATTAAAAAAACCCACAGAACCCCACAAAAACGAACATCGCGACCCCGTGGGTTAAAGGGAGCCGGGCAAACAAGCAGGACAAGGAGCTGCCTGGCCGCAGGGCACAGCTGGAGCCACAGGAGCTGAGTGGCACCTGGAGCCCGGGAGCAGAAACACGGCAGAAACCCCATGCGGGGATGGGACCCTTGGGAAGGGACCAGGACAGAGGACGTCCTCTACTGGGATCAGCTCCAGGAGCCCTTCGGAGCGTCCCCCCTGCTGGGCACTGCAGGGCGGCTGTCAGAGCGCTGCTCTAAAAGCAGCCGTTCGTCCTGAAGTGCCTCCCCAGGACAGCGGCCCTGCCAGCCTGGGTCAGAGGGAAGCTCTGCATCACAGCACAGCCCCAGTGCTGACGCATCCAACATCCCAGCCCTCTCCAGCCCCACACTCAGCCACGGGCCACGTTTGTGGCTTCTTGGACTCGAGCTTGTTTTCTCCAGCCACAAAAGAAGCAGCAGAGTTGGCCGTAGGAGGGCAGCTGTCACCATACCTCACAGAAATTCAAGGAGTCCTTTGAAGCTGTGCTGCACCAAAGGTCTCCCCGTGCCGAGACCCGAACTTAACAGGGGAAGCAGGCGGGGCAGCAGGCGAAGGCATCTCCCACGGACAAGGCTCTGAGGTCAGCCGCACACGGAGCAGCCCGGAGCCCGGCGCCCAGCAGCGCGTCGACATCGCCTGCAGAGCCGCGGAGGGGCCGGGAGGCGGCCCCCGTCCCTGCAGCAGCCCGGCTCCGGCTGAGCCCTGCGGGGACGGCAGCACGGCCGCGTCCGCCATCGCTCCTCGCCGCTGCACAGCGGCGCAGGTCCCGGGCGTCAGGACGGAGGCCCAGCGGGCACTGCTGGGTGCTGGCGGCCGACAGAAGGGAGGCTCCGTCCCCACGGAACGGGCGGAACGGCGGCCGCCCCGAGAGGAGAAAGACGCCTCCAGGAGCCGGTGCGCGTTTGCTCGATTTTATTAGGACTGACACATTCATCGTATGCCACAACGCCACTGATCAATGAGCTTCAGGAAACCGAAACGCCGGCGCCAGCCAGCGCGGTGATAGGGCACACATAGCGACACTTCTGAAAGGCTTCCAACGCTTCCTCCCGGCCCGCGTGCCCCCAGCCCGCCCCCCCGTCCCCCCCCCCTCCCCTCTCACAGCTTTGATTGTACCCATAAGCATGGTTTGACAGAATGCTCCCCAGCTGCCAGGTTATTCTCACAAAGAGGCTAACTAGAACTGAAAAAATAAACCGATAAAAATAAAAATAATAAAAGCCCGGGAATTATTTTAATGTTAAAAAATAAAATAAAATAAAATAAAAGCGGATATGGCAACACTACTAGGAAAGTGGAATACATCACAGAAACAAAAGTCTTTGCAGGCAACACTGTTTGGAGATAGGAGAACACTGGATGGGTGAAAAAAGTGAATTTCTAAATTATATACAATAGTATCTAAGGGTGGCTTTGAAAAACAGTCTCCTTTAACGTGATTCAAGATTTAACTCGCCGTTATCTATTGCTTATTTATTCAGATCTGTAATAACACTTATAGAGACGGATGTGTAAAAATGAGACCTTGTGGAAAACAGCTTTTCGTATGAAACGTCCGCTCCGTCCGACATGGAATGTATGGGATGTGCGGGGCAGGGCTCAGCCTGCCCTCGTCGCCCCGCGCTGCTCCACGGCCCAGCAGCCCCCCTCAAACGCTGCTGAGCAGCGCCTTCGCCTGGCGGCCGTGCGCAGCATCCATCAGCGTCCGACGGTGAGATGGGGAACGGGCAGAAGCCGCAGTCCTTATGAAGGACGAGATTCAGTTGTTGAATTTTAAGGGGTATCCAATGGCTTTTTCCAGGCACTCTACCAAAGAGCCAGCGGAAAGAAAATCCCTCTCCACTTCCACAAATTTGATGTAGATGGATTTTGGGGAGACCCCGGGCTCTACGACGCAGTTCTGAGATAAAAACGCGTTGATCCCAACCCACTCTTTGCTGAAGGTTTTGGTGTTTGCCTGGAAATGTAAAAACAGGCACTGCTGGAGAGTCCTGACCTCGGCGATGCCGAGGTAACAGTAGATGATGCGGGCGGACTCCATCTCCACCCGCAGCGAGGCCTGCGGCGACGGCGCCTCCAGCTCCCCCGGAGTCTCATGGCTGGGATCGGCGCCCCGCGGCTCGGCCAGAGGCGAGTGGGGCTTCTCGTGGCACTCCTCGTAGCCGATGGCGTACAGACCCGGGCTTTTGGGGATGCCCCCGGGCAATAAATACTGGACGACGTTGCCTCCCGTCGGCTTGGAGTGAGCGATGGGTATCCAGTCAATCTCCATGTGCAGCTCGAGGCACCTCGCTTCGCTGATGGTGATCTCCAGGAATTTGTAGTACACGTTCTTCCAGTTCATTTTCTGCACTCTGGTCATGATGACTCTGCCCTCCGGCTTCTCCGAGTTGAAATACTCCCGGAGCCGTTTGCCCAGCGGCACCTGCGAGCTGATCTCCGCGTAGTGGTAGCGAATGTCCTCCTTCCAGCGCGTGTTGTAGCCGATGCCGAAAATGGCCAGTTTGTTGGAGAGGTGCAGCCTGGAGAAGTCCGTCCAGCTCTGGAACAGCTCCCACTTCAACTGCACAGACTCCAAGATTTGCATAATGTTCTGCATGACGTCGCGCTTCCTGGAAAAACGGACAGAAGCGTAAAGCTGTCAGTAACGGCTTGGAGCTGCAAACCATCCCGGGCTACAGGAGAAAGCACCGCCCACACAGCAGGGCCGAGCCCCAGCTCTGCTTCCCAGGCCCCTCTATGATGTGGGAAGACCACAGCAAACACCACCAGCAGCAGCACCGGGCCGCGCAGGCCGCTCCTCAAGCAGTGGGCATTCCACTCCAACATGTGTCCCGCATCCGTATGCGAGCTGCCGGGCTGTAACACCACCACCGTCATTAACCTCATTAACAACAAAAACAATAAACAAAGCAGAACTTCATCAAACCTCTCTAGCAAGATACACCTGCTGGAGAAGGTATTTAGTGCGACAAGATCTGCAGGAGAGAACCTGGAGAGGAGAACCAGAGCTGCCCTGCACACAGCTCTGAGGAAGGTTCGGCTGCCAGCCCCCGCACTGCACTGCGCACAGCTCGCACCCCTGCTGCTGGAAGGCCATGGCAGCAAAGGGCTCCCATGTACCACAATGTCAGAGGGACGCAGCACTCGGTCACTGACAGACGTGCAAGTTCCTTCAGCTTAGCCTGCTGTTCCCTTGCACAAGTTCAAGTGCATTTGCCTTCACCTTGCTTTAAAGCAAAGTCAGAAAAAAGCACAGAACTTTCTTTGGGGTTTTTTCGTGCTTCCATAATCCAAAAAACATCACAGATTTTTTTCAGCTTTCCCACTCCCTGTGACCTGGGGCTGTTGCTTCCAACCAACTGCGCACAGCCATCCTCCTCTTGTTTGAGAATGAGTACTGCACCCAGCAGCTGTGTGTGCAGCCCACCAGAGGGGAAGTAAAGAAGCTCCTGCGTCTCCAAAGATCTCTTTTGGCTGTCAGTAACAGGACAGCAGCAGGGAGGCAAGCAGCACTGCAGGCATTCACACTTCACTAAGCGATCAGGTGGGAGCTTTTGCACACAACTGAAGCAAGCTGGAACAGCTTCCTTCCTGATGAATGAGACACTTAGGGCACAGTTAGTGGAGAGAACTACTGATTTCAGGAGTTACTGTCCTATAATCCAATCTGTAGGAAGACAATGCAGCTGTGTTGGTAACTGAGAAACCTCTCAGCCCAAGAACTGTGATTTGGAAGCTGCTCACTCGACCCTCCCTAGAACTGTCCTTCCACAACAGCTCCCAACAGCTAGGGCACGGGCTGCTGAGACAGTAAGGTCAGAAGTATCCACTTGTTATGGAGCAAGTGCTTAAGCAAGAGCAGACAGCAGCCCTCAGACTGCAGGGAATAGGAACGGGGCTGGTACTCAGTTGCTTCTTTGCCCCAGGTGGAACAGAAGCACATTCCTTCTTCTACTGCTCACAGAATCAAAATCATAGGGTCCCAGAATCATTGAGGCTGAAAAAGACCCCCTAAGATCCCCGAGTCCAACTCACTCCACTGTGCTCCCTGCCCACCTCCCTCTGTGCCACATCCCCACGGTTCTGGAACCCCCAGGGATGGTGACCCCACCACCTCCCCAAGCAGCCGTGCAGTGCAGCACCATTTTGCACTATACTGATGTAACAGCGCCAAGAAAAAAGGTTTGGGTTCTACAGACCCTTTCAGCAGTGCAAGAGGGCTTCAATTACACAGCCTCTCATCCCAGAAAACTGCTTCTTGGAGGTGCTGCACATCCACATGAAGCCCCACACGCTGGGTCTGAGCAGCCCAGGCTGAAATCACTCTCCTCACAGCAAGACTCATCTCAAACTTGCAGTTCAGACATCTGGAAGTGCAAGTTCATCCTCTGGAGACAAAAGGGATAAGGTGACACGGGAAGCAGCCGGCTGAGCGCAGGGCTGTGCGACAGCAGCCTGTGTTTCACCAGCATTCATTGCATTCAAGAGGAAGCTGAATGCAATTTAAGGAAACGGCCCCATCCAAACCCAGACACGCCAGAATGCAGTGTGGGTAGATTTTCATTCAACAGTAGAGGAACAGAGCTAAGAACAACAACAGAAAGAACAACACCTTTATTAATTACACCATAAATACTATTGCTAAGCTCAGTTCAGCACAAAACACAGCTGAAGCTCTGAAGAAAAATAAAAATTAGTCATTCAAACTACTGCTGAACAAGAATAATTTCACTAGAGAATCCCCAGCAGTGCTTCACGTATCAGAGGAGACATGGGCTTCAGAGGAAGCAGGAGGGACAAAAGATGTTAGAAAAGCAGCTCTCACTCTTTCTCGAACTGGGGAACCTGAGCTCCACATGTGGCCTCCTGAGGGCAGAGCAGAGAGGAGGAGAACCCCAGCGCAGCAGGGCGCACTGCTGGCCCCTTCTTTCTGCCGGCTGCAGGAGGAAACACCAACAGACAGCAAAAGCCAGGCTGCTACTTCTCTCTTTAAAGAGATACACGGTACCTGAGCAAGCAGAGCTCATCCTGGCTCAGCCCTGCACGCCACTGGGCTATCTCATTTCTCAACTGTAGAAGGTGCCCTCGAGCTGCCTTTTACCACATCGTCGGTCCGCGACCCCCAGCGCCTGGCTCACACCGGTCAATGCATCGCTTCCTCCTCAGAAGCTTTTGCAATTCAAACAAGGAAAGACTCGAGACTTGGTGCAAATTTGTTCTAAGGCACGGTTTCCAAACAAAAGCAGACTTCAAAGAAACTGAAACAGCTGGTTTCAGTGAAGGATTTAACTCCCCAAGCATTTCCAGTTCAACTTCAAAAAGCCTGCAGTCAAAAAACACGCTCCTCTGAAATTTAAAATGGTAGAACAGAGTCTGAAGCAGTTTTCACTTCTCCAAAACATTTACTTGGAGGGAAGAGCAAAGGAAATGCACCAGCACGGCCAGTGTGGGAGAGCCCAGCTGACAGAGCAGAGGGCAAGGATGCAGCTCACCTACCAGCTCTTTCCTCCCACACCTCTGGGAATAAGGCAACCCACGAAACACAGGAGATCTCCGTGCACCTCACAGCACGCAGAATGCCTGTTTTCTACCCGAAGTCGGGAGGCAGCTGCCACTGCCAAGAGGCCGTGCAACCTGCAACCCGCTGCGAGGCACCGCGAGGCGCACAGCCCGGCCGGCGTCGCGCTCCCACCTTCTTCCCTCCTGTCAGGAAAATAATCCTGCCTTGTTTCTCACAAAGCCATCTCCCGTGTTTCTCTGCAAGTTGCTCTGCTCGGCTCTGCAGTTCCCCCCTGGGAGCACAGAGGGCTCCTGTCGGACCATCTCCTGCCAGACCTCTGCCGGTTTTCACAGCCCCAGGACCACAGCTGGGAACCCGGAGGTGGTGGCGCTGCAGAGCAATTCCTTCCGACCTCCCAGAGCAGGGCAGCATTTCAAGATCGCGTGCGCCCACAGTCAGGCAGCACCACCACGTAAATTCTGCACTTTGCACAGGTTGAACGCATCATCGCCCCCCATTTCACTGAGATCACTTCTGCTTCAAACTTCCACGTGCAGAAGAAAGCAGATGAACTGAAGGTCTGCTTTCTTTGCAATAAGCTACATGCATTTTAAAACACGGGCCAAAAACAAGAAGCTGTTTGGTATTATTTGCTATGGCTTTTAAAATTAGACAACTCTTTTTTTAAAAGATGATAAATAAATACTCAGCTTATCTACAGTACCAGTAAGGCTTCTCCAGACCGCCTGTAATCATTCCAAACTCAACACTGGTTTCCTTATCCAATGTCCAAGACAACTGCTGAGGCAATGAACTGGACAAAGCAAACCCTGCCACAGCAGCATGCAGGGATCCTCCACTTTCCAAAAACCCAACCTGAAAAGCTGCCTTTGACGCCTCCTACGAAGAGCCTGACAGTGCAGAAGGCAGGGAGAACTCTTCTTTAATGCTTTGCTTTCCATTGCTTGATGTAGTAAAAAGGCAGAATTTTCAAGTTTCTTTCAACTTTAAAAGACTTCAGAGTTTAAAAGTTCCTCGTTCCTCATAGCAGAGAAAAAAAAAAAGGCATTTTCAGCAAATTTCTGTGTTAGAAGTCACTTTGTGCTTTCACTGAGCACCGACTGGCTTATCATCCACACGCTTCACAACACGCCTAGGAGTTCAGAGGCCTCCATACATTTTAGAGAGAGCTTCAGGGGCAGAAAAGAAACCCCCAGCTCTGAGCAGTCAGAGCTCCAGCCATGCACCTGCACAACAACAAGCTGGCAGAGAAAACTCAGGCAGTCTTCACACAACACGAGCTTCTCTGAGCTTCGGCCTCAGAACATTCAGAATTCTTTTCTGTGCAACTCCCTAAGGCACGCCTTGAAGGTAGAATTTGCAGGTAGAATTACCCCAGAGCCATCCTAACGAGCTGTTCAAAGAGGTGATGATGTTTATGCTGAAAAACAAGTGTTTTCCTTCATGCCCATCCCTGAGATGCTACCCTGAATTCAGTTCATATGAAGACAAAAATCACCATCAAAACAGCTTAACTGAGGACTTTGATGAAGCTAAGCCATCACAATGCAGGCTTTTCATTAAAAATAACTACATACATATGTGGAATTTTTAAAAATCCTTTACTTCCAGTAAAAAGCCTCTGCTGCTACCCAGAGACACTACATAAACCTGTACAGCACTGATGAATTACTGTCCTACACAAACTCACTTTGCAGCCTAAGAAACGCCATACTGACTTCAGCCAGCTCAGCCATGGGGAGAAGTGGTGCAGGACACCATGCCCACATGTCCCCCTCAAGGGGCCTGCAGGTGGATTTGAGACAGCTCATCCCACTACAGACAGAGCTACACTCACCCTACAGGGTTTGAAACCCAGAGGCTGGAAGAAAGCAGCCCTGCTCTGCAGGACCGCGGCACGATTCATTTTTTGAAACACTCTGTGTTATTGTTGGCGAGGCAACGGAGATTCACATGCTTAAAACATTTTAAATGCTTCAGTCTTTGTCAGATTAAACCAATCCAAAAGGTTACAAGTCAGCTCTGGAAAGTTATGAAAATAAAAGAAATCACAAACTTTGGCATGCTTTCCACCAAGGAGGGGAAATGCACCAACTTTTAATGTGAGCATTACTCACACGAGCCAAGTCAACAGCACGCACTACTGGGGGAGCCTCACTTCTCACTCGCTTTCCTCCACTTATGATCCATTGCAAATATCTGGTCAGCACCACCTGGGCATGCAGGTCCTGCCACTGGTGTAGTGGAAAATATACACCACAACATAATTACTGCTCTTTAAAAAAAAACAACTTATTGTTTTTCCTTGTACCCAAATGGGCGAAATTCAGGCAACTTCAGGCAGATGGAAAAAACACATTTCAGAAGCTCAAGAGCCTGGGCTCATCCCATGATAACCACAGCCTGCCACACACAGCCCTGGCAGCCTGAGGTGGATCCGAGCCGCACGTTCAGTCCTCGCATTCAGTGGTGAGCCGTTCTGCTGGCTGCATGATGGAGCCCAGAAAGGACAAAGCTGTGAAGCTTTTCGAACGTTCTGAGGTAACTGGAATAATGCATAAAGCAGATTCAAGTGTATGAATAGTCTTGCACAATGTATTTATAATTATAATCAGAAGTTTCAAACATCCTCCCTCCTGCACAACATCCCCAGGGAAATGCATTCCAGGGTAAAGCATTCATAAATTACTTACTGAGCATCTTCTGAAGATTCCTGTTTTATCTTTAATGTTCTTTTTGTGGTAGGCATTTCATCTGAAAGGTAAGACCCAACACAGTTATTTTTTAAAATAAAAGGCAGCAGGAATATTACTTATTTTATTTTTTTAAGGCTGAAGTTACAATCCATCTTATTTCCTAAGCCCACCAAGCCCTGCCACATGCACAGGGCAGCTCCAGTTCCTACATTAAGTGGAGTTTTTGGTTTTCCTTAGGAAACGATGTGGCCAGTTACAAGATCTGTACCTGCCTCTGCAAGTGCAAAACCTTTCAAGGACAAGAGCATAATTCCTGCAATTAAACCACAAGTCAATTTAATTACTAACTACACTGAGGGAAGAAAAGAAAGACTGTTCTGCTTTCAATAGCACATTTAAACAGCAAGCACCAGGACAAATGCATCTGTATTCCATTTAGATTTTATGTGCCAAACGCTTCTCTCTTCTCTCGACATCAGGAATGCTGCCACCCCAAGCACACACAAATCTCTCTTAATTCAACTGAAGGAAAACGGCCACAAACCAGGAGACCACAGTTTGAGTCACCAGAACAACCAGATGGAATTAGCTGCCATTTACGCACGTTTCGAAACATCGCCGTCTCCCCACCATTTCTCTCCCACATATTTCTGACTTCTAAGCTCCCAGAGGAAGAAGTCTGAGAGAACCAGAATGTGGTTAATTTGCAAGTTGGCTGCTTTAATATCAAACTGCAATTTAAGACTCTTTTACAGCGTTCACCGCCCCCAGTCCCCTGAACAAAGATGCGTGCCGACAGGTGACTGCATCTCCTTCCTGTCCCCACTTCAGCCCGCAGATCACAAGGAAAACCACATCAACATCTTTTCCCCACTGTGTTCTAACTGCTGGATTTGATCAACTTCTATTTCCTCCATGAAAAGAATTCCTTTTCCTCCATGCTTCACGCCGTAACACAGTGGTCAAGACACAAATGTACTTGAAGAAACCCACTTCTTCACCGCAGCTGGACACGACAGCTCAGATCAGTGTGTGCTCGCTTTGCTGATCGAGAATGTGGAGGCTGCCTCCGTTGGACAAAGCGAAACAGCCACAGGCAACAACCAAATCTCCAAATTAGCTCATGTGCTCATTTGTACGCACTGAAGCTGACACTACTAATTCAAGCAGGAAAAGCACTCTGAACACCACACATCTGCATACAAGCATATCCGTGTGCTTGAAGCAAACACAGCAGTTAGGATGTATGGGAAGAAGGAGAAAACAGTCATTGGTACGAATAGGAGCAGCCTGGAAGTAAACAGTGGATGAGTGGTAGCTGGCACCCAAGGACCTCAAAGCTGGGCACTGCTGACAGGGAAGCACCTCCCTGATCCCATCGGGGGAAGAAAAACTGAGCAGTGGGTGGAAGGGACAGGGAGCCAGGGAACGTACTGCCTCCTTTGCCAAGGTTTATGGCCACATCACCCTTCTTTTCTCCTGATCCTGATACTCCAGCAGCCTCCAAGAACCACTGTCTGCTTTTGATGGTTATTTCCCTTTCCTCCCCATGGACATCAGTGGTTTAGCACTTGAGCACATTACGTCTCCCAGACATGAAAGGGGGGACTGTATGAACACAGAGCACAGAGAGTGGGGAAGCATTAACAGGACTCCTTACCTAATTCCTGCTCACCGGTCTGGTAGCAATGAAGATCCTGACTGTGGTTTCCCCAGTCCTCCTGCGAGTACTCCTCCATGGTGCTGCCATCCGACTCCAGCTCCTGGTACAAGCCACTGCTGTTGATGAGGACAGGCTGGCAGGGCTGGGAATCCCATCCTCCCTGCCCAAACACCTGCTCCAGCTGTTCGAACGTGTAGCTGCTTTTCCTCTTCCCAACACCATGCTCCTTCACACGGCTGTAACACCTGCGGAGGGTCTGAGACAGAAAGCTGCGTGTTACTCACCCAAAGGTGCTGCTTCAGCAGAGCACACATAGCAGACAGTTACACGACTGCCAGGCAGAGTTTAGAATTTTACTTCTGCTGATCAGTACTTGCCACACGCTCATGAGCTAAATGCAAGGCTGTCAAGTTAATCTGCACCTGGCAGGAAGCATCATTATGTACCCGATGCTCCTGATGCAGGTTTTAGCTTTAACATCTACAACACAGAACAGAGTTGTACAGCAGCTACAGGTTCATTGATTTAACTTGGGCAATTGATTCATTTATTCTCCTCCCCACTTCAAACCCCCCCAGATCTGCCACGTAACACAGGGAAAATAAACAACAGATCCCCAGTCAGAGATACCAATCAGCCAAGAAAATGCACACCGACTACAAGAGGGGGAAAGCAGAGCCGGTGTTGTGCCCACAGCCTGGAGAAGGTGAAGCAGGGAGGAGATGGAAAGGAAGAAAGAAAGAAGTCCCCAAAAGCACAGACAGTCCAACCTTCCTTACTCTGGTAAGAAGACACAAGGTACAAAATGTATGCCTAAGCTATTCAGCTAATAAAATATATATTACTTACATATTTTGCATTCCTTACTAACTCACTCTGCCTCTTGTGAAGCTGCTGAAATTTAAAAGAGGTCAAATCAATAATGCTCCACATTCCCAGACTTTGATATCAATCATTAAGAAAGAAACATAACTCAGATGGCTCTGGCTAGTAATTCACTACGACAGCTTTCAGCGCTAAGGTTGAAGCCTCCAAAAATGACAAATCCAAAAACCCAACCTGGTTTTGGTGATCTCTACCATCCTGTGCTACTGGCCAAGCTGGCAGCTACACATAACACCCACTGCCTGACAGAAAGGCAAAGCTGCAGACAAAACTCATAGACTTGTACAGCTCCCCCCTAGCCCAGATCCAGGCAGATATTTGGGTGGGGAAGAACCTTTGTGTGCATCTCTCAGTGTGTTTTTAATTCAACCACCACTCTGCTTTTAAAAGATAACATCATGCTTCAACTTTATCCTGCAAATCTCAGCAATTTGCAGACTGATAGATTTGTAGAACACATTTTCTCACACAACATTCACTAGGTTGTTCAGATGCTACACAGAATGGCAATCTAAGCCACCTCTAGAGCTCCAAAGAGGCATTAATTCAGGAATAGTTTGGTCATCCTGTTTTCTGAAGAAGGACTACAGCTCTTAAACAACAAGCAAATACACATCATTGCATAAAATGGTTGGTTTTCCCCCAAAAGGAACTTCACATCTACAGAAAGCTCCAACGCATCCAATGCTCCTCAAACACCTTGTTCAACAGCATCAGCAGGAGAGGAATACACTCCTAGCCCGTCTCCTCGTGATATTCAGAGCCCTGGGAGCAGCAGCAAAGCTGCTAAGCAGCAAGTCAGTTTTACTCTGCTGTTTCAAAACCAAAAAACCAACACACGGCAAAAGCCCAATGAGCCCAGAGGCAGCAATAAGCACCACTTTCTATCAGCAGCTCTGGGAAAGCGATCGGGGATTCTCAGCTGGGCAGCACCAGCCTCTCCTGATTCTGTCTTTGCTGCCTCTCAGGAGAAAACAGGCAGATCCTCCTTGGACCAGCAAATTTTTACATTTCCAACACCTCTGCTGCAATTGGGGTAGAAAACAACCAGCTGTGCAATCCCAGAATCAAGAACCCATCCATGAGAAGTGTCACTACTCACTGCAGACAAATTCATTTCTATGCCCGGGGGTACAGATAAGTTTAGTTGGCAAAACTTCAACAAGAACACCTTTGGAAGCATTGAGAAGATTTGGAATGGTCAGGTGTGCCTCAGGTTGGATATCAGGAAAAATTCATTCTCCAAAGGAGCAGTGATTCTCAGGCACCAGCTGCCCAGGAAAGCGGTGCTGCCACCATCCTGGAGGTGCTCCAGACCACGGGGATGTGGCACTGAGGGATGGTCAGTGGCTGCTGGTGGGGTGGGCTGGGTTGGACTCGGTGATCTTGAAAGTTTTTCCAACCTGACAGATTCTGTGTGCTCTTAGCTAGATGGCACAGCCTCCACCCAGCAGTGCCGTGACCTACATGCCTGCCCACATCTAGTGTCACAATTACCTGTCCATGACACCCATCAAACGCTGGCTGCTGGCCTCGACCAGGTCCAGTGACACAGGACAGCACTCAGCACCACTCAACTCTTAATGGAAGGGAGGAGTCCTCGGGTTTATGAAGTGAGGAAGCTGAAGTGAGGAAGGCAGTATCCAGAGGCTACCTGCCTCGTCACGCCAGGATACTCACGAGTAACAAAAGATGAAACCATAGCGGGACAAAAGAAATGGCTTGTGAAGTCTAGGGTGGTTTTGCAGCATGTAGGGATAACTGGAGCCATGAAAGCTCCTGAAACCTGCATTCCCACACTGGCTGGAACACAAGGAAACAGAACTGACTACAGGTGGTCGAATCCTCTGCTCTGCACACAGGCTCATGAACTTTCAGGTTAAAAAAATGTGTGAAAGGCAGGAGAACATCAAGTCTAAATAAGAATACCACCACCAGAAGCCCTATTTCTGTACTTCTGAACTGAAGCATCAGTTCTCACAATAAAAAGGGAAGAAAGCACAGCTTGAACTCTAAAGAGAGCCGTACCACAAGCAGAAAGGCAGCTGATGACTTAGTGCTCGAGAAACCAAGTCTACCACTGCTCCACAGAACATGAGCAAATCCATCCTTAACACTCTGCAGTCATGCAGAACCTACTGCAGACCTGCCTGAAGTGGCTCCAGCTCTGCACGTGGCCACAGATCACAGCACTCAGAGATACACCGGCAGTCAAATTAATTTTTTACACCAAAGAACAAAGCCTCAATTGCATCCTGATGTGCCTCCATGCCAAAAATTTCCTGAAAGTTCTGGCTCCAGACCAGAGGACTCCAAAATGAAACAATGAAAGTGATGTAAATGCCTCAAGGGAAGACAGGTGGTCAGGGAAGTAGAGAAGTCAGTCACCAAACTGAGACAGAAACCAGGCATCTCTTTGGATGATGACTTGAAGAAGCAAAGTCATGCTGTGAGACACAGACAAGGGATGCTCAGGCAGTACCATAAGCCACACATTTTTAAGGCAGGTTACTTCTAAGAGCCAGAATCTAACAAAAAAATGCAGTGGATTTTTCACCACTGCCAGTTTCTGAACCACAGTTCAACACATCTAAACAAACTAAGCCTGGACAGGTATTATTTACAGAGGCATCAAACCCTATGGCAGAGGCCAGCCTAGATGACTATAAACGTATTTCTACACCCCTGCACCAAGGATACATGGCTCCTCTAGCTCTCTGAACCACTGCAGCAGACATCAAGCTGTCCACTTCTACTAACTAAAAAGGAGAGGTTTGGGGGCAGAAATCTCTCAAGTTTCAAGACAAAAACCCTATTGCAACAGCAGGATCTCATGGAGCCCATTAACCCGGGACTGCAGGACTTTGCCAGAGACTGAGAGAAAGAAGATAAACTGTGGGCTAGGAGATTGCTTTGCCCCAAGTTTACACCAGGGACCACATGGAGGCTATGCTACAGTCTGACAGAGGATGAATTCCACTTCCAAAGCACATCTGGGACCTGGAAGAATTTCACTGATATTCAACCAGTACTAAGGGCTTCCATTCTTTCCATTAAGAACTAACAGCAGAGCTCTTAAGGGCTAGGACACCCAATAATAGTCCCACACACCATTTTGGTCAGTAAAGGTGTTCTTTCCTACACTACCCAAAAACTACTGTCACTACTGTTCCAAAAACTCTATTCACTACTTACCCCAAAGCAATGAAAGCCATGTTCAGTAGATTGTCCTGCCTTTAGAAACACACTCATTCCTTAAAATTAAACATGAGTTTTCACACAAACACTGTGAATGGGACAAGCATCTCCATGCCACCCATGAAGCCTGATGGCCAAAGATAACCCTCAGTACAGCAGTCTGTACCAAAGAAATCCAAGAAGTACTTGATAGGTTAGATACCAGCTATTTGGCAAGCCAAAGGGACCACACAGGCCTACCCCTGTTGGTTCCAGGTCTCAAATGAGCAGGCAGAGCAGGGCCACAGACTAAGAGCAGCACAAACCCTCTTGCAGGTGGTAGGGAAAATGCTCTGCTCCAGAATAAGCTCCAGATGGGAGGCAGAAAGCATCAACACGGGTGGCACCCCATGGGTTACTACTCACATAGTTCTGAAAGCTGGGAGCTTTACACACGATCCTAGAAGCATGCAAACGCCCGTCCTGAGGCTGTGGTCTCCAAAGAAAGGTCCATGCCAGGCGAGTCCAACCTCAGCCTTTGTGATTTAGCTGCACAGAGAAATCGTTATCAATAGAAAGCAACATCTAAATCTAGACCAATAGGAAAAGCTGTAAGAAAAATACCAAAAGCTGTCTTAACTCCAGTTTTCACCAGAAACAATGACCAAAACAAAGGTTAGTAACTGTGGGACCCACAGCAGTCCAGAAAGCATCATCTCCTTAGCCTCCAGATTGACAGATTTAGCAGGATGCAGCAGAATCTGGAACAGTAGTGGAAGTCAATCTGCACCCACACAGGCACTTAAAGCTCTGTGCTTTCACACCAGCTTCACTCTGTTGAACATTTCAGGTGCATTCAGTTACTTCTAGAATAAACAAAATCCAAAATCAACCATCTAGCAACTGCATCATTGCCACTGGGACTCTCTTCTGACGTCAATGCAGTTTCTGCAGTATAACTGCCACTGACATGTCCACAATTGCAGCCCACTGTGTGTACAGCCTAGGGGCACGTATTAAAAACTGGGAGGACTTTAAGATCTGGGTCCTAAGTGGTTCCCCTCCTGAGAGGCACAAATAACGTGTGCCCAAATCAAGATTTAACCTTCACAACTGTGACTCGCTGCCTGCTCAAAGACATGCCAGAGCGAGCTGCTTTTAGCCCCGACCTCTGCAGTAGAAGCAGACTGCTAACTTTGTTTCTCTGGGAGGGGAATCTCAGGGCACACCTGCATGCCAGAGCCTCCACCAAAGTGCTTCTGGCAGAGCTGCTCCCCAGAAAATGGGAAATTCTGGCCTGTGGTGCTAACCTGCCTCCCTGAACAGCACTCCAGCAAGTGGCCCACACACGGAGCGGACACAGCTGCTGTGCGAGAGCATCCATTGCACGTGATGCTCAAATCTTCCAGAGATGCTCCTCCACGGCAGTCTCATGGTATGTCCAAGAAGCAGTAAAGCAAGTAAACTCTTCACTGACAAAGAACAGATTCATATTGTCCAGTTTACGAATGTCAACAGAAAGTTGCTCCCACCTACTGGGGCCTGTGAAGTTCTCCAGCGAGGAGTGAGTTCTTGGAGAGCATTCAGGACAGGAACTGCAAAGTGACCCAGCCTGGAAAACTAGAGGCATCTGAACCTACTTAAGACGAAGAAAGATCAAGAGGTAACTTGAACACTGCCTGTGCACATCGCAGAGGGTGGAGCCACAGGGACAAGGATCTCGGCCTGAGTAACAGAAGACAAGGGAAAATACATTAAAAAATGGAAGGCAAAGCTGTTCTGAAGGTGATAAGCTGCTGGTAAAGAGACTGATAACTTCATCCTTGGAAATCCTTTGAAAAGAGAGCCACTCTGCTTAAGGTTATTGAACCCAGTGATGAAATTCTGGGAGAAATTCAATCTCCTGGAGCACACAGAAGGTCACACTGCATTGCTGCAGGAGTCCCACCAGAGACAGCCAGTGCAGCGCTTCCTTCTTTCAAAACGACTTCGCGCTACAAAGATTTAAAAAGAGATTGTTTACATCATAAAGCAGCAAAAAACACAGCCACGTTGAAAGTAAACCCTGTCATCATCATCTTACATATAGCTTAAAGCAAGAGCACACGAACAGCTGACATCCAAGCATAATTCCTCATTCCACCCTGTTTCATGTTAGCAGCACCACTTCTCCCCTTTGTGCCTGCATTCCCCGTGTGAAAGCACGTAACTGCTGTCTTCAAGGTGCTTTTTTTCACTTTGCAAAATAAATCACACATTCTGTGGACAATCACAACCCAGCAGACACCTTCCACCTCCTGCCAGGTGAGCAGCAGGTCACTGTGTGCAGAAAACAAGCACAAGGGCAACGGGCCTCACCAGGAGCAGAGCTTGCGAATGACACGTTCAGAGGTTGGAAGAGCATGAAACAGTGACGTTCAAGCTCACTGCCTGATCTGAAGCAATAACAAAGCCTACATACTGGATGCATCAGCTTTTTTTGGCCTTCGTATGGAACGTCACAGCACGAGGTGATACTCATTTTTCTGTGATTGTGACTCTGCCACTCGTTAGCAGCTCACCTCCTGCTCTGAAGCAACAATAAGCCTGGTGAAGGGCACAAAATAGAAGTGACTGCATTCAAATCTGGAAAGAGTTTTGCAAAATATCTCATCCTCTGCCTCAAATAATAGTTCTGAGGTCAAAACAAATAGCTGAATGCTCCACAATGCTGCACAGAGGGGACTGGTTTGGGGATGCACCAACTGCTGAGCCAGGCTAATTCTCCAAACTTGGATTGCGATCACACTTAGCAAAGAAGAGCAGGGCTGGAGGAAAAGTACACGTGCTTCAGTAAACAATTCTTTAACGAGAGCTGTGAGATCACAACTGCAGGAATGGTCAGAGCGCACTGCTGTGCCAGCAGAGATTCAGGACACAGCTTGGTATGCCAGGATGAGGGAACTGTGAGGCACAGGATGGCTTCTGAGGACCCAACAGGCAGAAATCAAAACATTGAAACACTCCCGCAGCTCCCAATCCCTGAGCTAGCTGGTCCACAGGCATCAAAGTCATGAAGCCAGGCTCTCACGCAGCAATAAGCTAGGAGTACTTGCTGGAATTATTACGTGTGACCCCCCGAATTTGAAACAGGCACTCTGGAGTGCAGATCCAAGCAATGGTCTCATTTGCAGACTGCAGGCCAGCACCGCTTATGTGCAGAAAAGCACATGCAGATGTTAGAAGACAGACAAAATGTGAACTGGGACCTTGCTTTACATCCAGTTTGAATTAGGAGAGAATGCATACATACATGCAATACAACTGGAGAGCTGGAAAACTTTGTTCTGCAGAGCTGACTTTTTCCTCTCTATCTCATTTCTAACACTCCTCGAGATTTGGCAGAGCACAGGAAATTTGGGTGCCCTGAAAGCCAATACTGAGGTCTAACCTACAATGTATTTATAAACTAAGTTGAATTTGACACATTTTAAGCACGATTTACATTCATAATCAATCAGCAAATCCTTACAGCACTGTCCCTTGAGGGACGTTAAGTCCAACTATCCTATAAAATCATGGAAATGGGGGACAGCAGGCTAGTGGAACGGTGAAGCAAAGCACTCATCCATCACCATTGCTTCAGCTCTGCTTTTAGCTCTGACAACGGATAGCATAAGACTATGAAGAGTCTGTGAACCGCCCTTGTTCCAACAGCAAGCCCAAGCCTTCCTGCTCCATCTTAAAATGAAAGTCAAACATCAACCTCTCTGTGTTCAAAGTGATTTTCACCCTCAGCTGAGCAAGAAAGAGCCAAGCAGACGATTCTTCAATTCTAATGCAACTATTTCAATAACTCCTGTAGCAAACTCAACCTTTGGCTCTACCAAAAATGGAGCTTTTCAACGAGGGCCCGTTTTTCTCGAAAAGCCCAAGGATCGTGAAAAGCTCTGCCATGCTGACACGTCCGAATCTCCCGAGAGCGCAGCGACGAAGACCCCCAGGGCGGAGCACGGGGGCCGTGCAGGACCTTGGACAGCAGCGCGGCCCGGCGCCAGGCGCAGGGCGGAACCCGCGCGGGATGCCGGCAACCGGGCGAGGCGCCGAGGCGCCAGCGGGAACCAGCGGCGTGCGGAGGACGGCGGCAGGAACCGCTCCTCATCGAGCCTCCGACCCGGCGCCCGCTGTGGACTTCACTTAAGAAGAGTCCGTGCAGTCGAGCTGCGTGTTGGCTACAAACATCTGTAGGGAAACGTCTAAGAGGTCTTTCAGGAGCTGCTCTTGAAGCTATTGCAGTGCAGTGAGCCTCAGAGTCCCTCCTTCCCTCTAAACCTACATATAAAAACACAATTCATAGTTTCTTTGCAACTTATAAATGTCACCGACAAAAGACTGCTGCCAAAGCGCTTCTCAACAGACAGGAAGAAGTGTCTCTGGTAACAGCACCACGAGCTGCTGGGAAACAGACATTCCAGAGGGCGCTTTCCCACCCCAACCAGAGCCCTCCACACACACCGCCCAGCCAGGTCAGCTCTGGGACAAATATTCTCCTTGCAAACTGCTCTGCACTCGGTGAGGCAATTCCTTGTACAGCTGCAGCCACAGCCGAGGCAGCAGCCCTTAACAACAGCAGCAGGAACTCCCCCAACAACCAGAAACAGTAGGGCTGTGTAGACAAGGAAAACTGCCCTTGGAGCTTTTTCAACACTAGCAAAACTCCAAGTGTCCCAGATTTGTGGAAGGCCTGATTGAAGCTGGATGTTGCTCAAAAACAAGAGACTTGGAGAATTTTTGTGGTGCATGAAGTGCCTGCTTCAAAGCAACGTTTCCCTCCCTCCCAAATGTTCTGATGCATTCAGGAAAATAAATCCCCAAGCAGACAGATACAAGAAGTCAAAGAGATGACATAAGAACATACATTCAGAAAGCAAAATGTTTATAAGAAAGAGTTTTGCTTCTCTTCAACAGTTTTTCCAAAGACAAATGCTAATCAGACACTGCAGGGCAAAGCCCCTGCTCATTTGCTCCTGAGCATCTCACGGGATGCTCAGTAACACAGAGCTGCCCACCAGACATACTGCCACCAGTCTCTATTAACACTGCAGAAGTGCCCAGTTCCTTGTTTCATGCATTTTGCAAATCAAAGGTCTGGATGATGAACAGAACAGGGCAAAGAGAATCCAACAACACCAGCGATATCAAGAACTAACAAAATGTTCCTTTCTAATTGATCAACATTTTAAGCAACTGCACTGGAAACCAAATGGGTCATGAAAGGGGAAGCAAGCCTTAAGGGACCTCAGCATTTAATTCTACCTTCTGCACTTTATTCATATTTACAGCCTGAAGCCTGCAGCAGCTCCTATGGACCACAGGTTCCTCACATCCCACCAGTCCGAGTCCACAGCTCCCTCTGTATGAGGGCAGCATGTGGATTGCTGCTTCCTGCCTGAGCCCTGGCTTTATCTTCTCCCCAAGGAATGATACAAGTAGAGAGCCAACTCTTTAAAATCCAGCACCACAGAAGCCGGCTGGCTGTACCATTTAACACAGCCCCGTAATTAAAGCAGGCAACCCAGGGGAAACACCATAGCCACAAGGCTACTCCACAGCCATGAAGGGCCCCAGGAGCAAGGGGACCCCAGGAGCAAGGGGACCCCAGGAGCAAGGGGACCCCAGGAGCAAGGGGACCCCAGGAGCAAGGGGACCCCAGGAGCAAGGGGACCCCAGGAGCAAGGGGACCCCAGGAGCAAGGGGACCCCAGGAGCAATGCTCCATCACAGAACAACAGGAGCTCCCTTCCCACTACACAGCTGCAACGATGCTGGAGGGCATCAGAGGCTGGGTCAAAATCCCCCCAGGGCCACGGTGCCATAGGACACTGCCTGTGCACGAAGACCCACAGGTGTCGCCTGAGCCAGGGGATCCAGCACCAGGCCCACAACCGAAGGAGGCCGCGGCCCATCCCAAGCTCGACCCCCCACCCCCGGGCCCTCCACGCGCGGGGCCGGGGGTACCTTGATGCGCTCCCGGCACTGTGAGGGGGTGCGCTCGTAGCCCAGCTCGGCCAACGCTCGGGAGACCCGCTCGTACATGGCGGGCCCGGGGGCCTTGCTGCCGAACACGGTGCCGGCGCCCTCCAGCTGCTGGTAGCGGGCCTCCACCAGCCGCTCGTTGCCCCACACGGCGATCAGCGCGTTGGTCTCCGCCGGGGTCCAGGACATCCCCCGGCACGCTGCGGCCGCGGCGGCGGCGGCGGCTCCGCCCGGGGAGAACGAGACGGAGGGCGAGGCTCCGCCGCGGCCCCCCGCCGCCCCGCCGCCCCCCAGCCCGGCCCCGCCGGTTGCCGGCCCCGGGCCCAGCGGGGAGGCGCCGCTGGGGGTGGACGGGTCGGAGAGGCTGGGGTTGCCGTCGCTCAGCGCGCCCGGCGAGCCAGGCGACAGCACCTCCATCTTGGGGATCTTGAGGGGCGGCTCGGCGGCGGGGAGCTGCGAGGAGCCGCAGGACGCCGCCATATTGGAGCTGCCGGACCGAGCAGGCGGAAGTGACGCGCCGTTCGCCGCGGGTGGGACTTCCGGTAGTGGCGAGAAGAGCGGGATGGGGCGCGGGACGAGCGGGGGCGTGGTCGGAGGTGGGCGTGGTCAACGGGAGGCGCGGGGCGTGGCCGTCGGAGGCGTGGCCTTGGCTGGCGGGGCGGGGCTTTCTCGATTGTGGGCGTGGGCGTGTTTCGTGGGCGTGGTTAATTTGCTGCTATCCCGAAGGGGGCGGTGCTTGAGGTGGGGGTGGCCTGAGGGGCGGGTCAGCACTGGGGCGCCGGGTAGCGGTGGGGTGGGACCGCAGAATCGCCTTGTAAAAAAGGCAGACGGCCCTTGTCTGCCTTTGTGCGCATGAGCTGAATGTCCCCCAACATCGGGGCTGAGCATCCCCCAAAGTCTGGGGCTGAGCATCTACTCAGCATCGAGTCCAAGGAACCCCGAGACTCAGGACTGAGAATCCCCCGAAATCCGGACTGAGCACATCCCCAGCCACTGAGCATTCCTCCAAATTTGGGGCTGAGCATACCCCAGCATCAGGACTGAGCACTCTCAAACATCGACACCGAACGCCCTCATAAGAGCAGGACTGAGCGTCCCTCAGCACAGGGGCTGAGCACCTCCAAACAGCAGAGCTGAGCATCCCCCAGACACAGACTGAGCACTCCCAGTGTAAGGACCAGTGTAAGGACCGTCAATAGAAGGACCAAGCACCCTCCAATAAAAGGACCAGTGTAAGAACCCCCAGTCTAAAGACAGAGCACAGCACAAAGGCTGCCCCGTGTGTGCCACAGCTGTCCCCCCACCACGATCCCAATTAAATGGGCTTTGAGCAGAGGGGCATCACGGGCTGTGATTGATGAGTGCGGGGCAGTAACGAAGGGGAGCAGGGACCCCCTCGAGCCGCTGCTGGGGACCGCTGGGGGTCCCTAAGGGTGAGCGCTGCTCATCCCATCCCTCCCCCTCCCGTGCAGCAAAATGCGTTAATTAGCGCCGTGTTGGTTAAACAAACCCGTGCGTGGCACCGGGCGAGGCGAGGGGGGCTGCAGCACATCTGGCGGGGAGCGGCCCGGGAGCAATCAGAGCCGTAATTATCCCATTCTAATTACTGGGATTACCGCGGCTGCGACGTTACACATTTCATGAGCTGCAGGCGCTGGAATATATTAACCGCCCCCGGGCGGGGGGGGGGGGGGTGCAAAGCTGTAGGTTCTTTGTGAGTGGCCGGGGGAGCGGGGCCGTGGGGGTATCCTGGGTGTCCCCATCGGGGTGCATCTCCTACCAACACCAGGACATGTCCCCAGAAGGCTGCGCCCACTGCCAGTCCTGTGACACATCCCCAGCGAGGTGCTCCCACTGTCACCATGTCCCCAGAAGGAATGCACTCACTGCTGGTGTGTCCTCAAAGGGGTGCACACGCTGTCAGCCCTGTGGCACTCATCGTCACTGCACCCATTGCCAGTTACTGTGACGCATCCCCAGAGGGTTGCATCCCCTGTCACTGCATCCCAAAGGGGTGTATGTGCTGCCGAGCCCACGACTCATCCACAGAGGTGCTCAGCCATTGTCAGCCCACTTGCCGGTAGGTTCCCTAAGTGATGCACCCACTGAAACCTTACTAGCATGTCTCACTGCCAGCCTTGCTGTGTGCCCCCAGAGCCGTGTCCCTAGGCCCTGCAATCCCTGCCAATGTGCCCCAGAGTTGGTTCCCTAAAGGGATGCCTCCACTGCTGCTGTGTCCCCAAAAAGCTGCTGCACCCATCACCGCTCCTGCAGGTTTGTTCCCAAAATGTACCCAGGGCTGGATGCCCCAAGAGGCTCAGCTGCACATCCTCAATGCTGGGTGTCCCCAAGGCCAAAGGTGTCCCCAGCACTGTCCCTTCTCCCTGCAGAGCCGCAGAGCTCATCAGAACGCAATTAGAGCACCACTCCACAATGCAGGGGATCGGGCGGAGGGAAGGGATGCAAATGAGGTTAACGGTTAATTACATATTGAAAAATTCATTATTCCTCCAGAGCAGCTGATTGCAATGCAACCCCGCATCCCCATTAGAGTTATTTGACCATTTGCAAATGAGACCCGACCCCAGGCTCGCCCCCTCCTCTCCCTGTCAAAAGACATTCCTGCAGCAAGTTGTGCCCACCCTCAGATCTCTGCTTTCCTCCCAGATATGCTGGTACAGGTGAAACTGGGGCATCCTCCATGTTAAAGGCATGTGTAAGTGAGACACTGCATCCCCAAAGAATGTCTCAGAGTGTGTTAATTGGCATCGGTTCCCTCTCCCCAGTGAATCAAAGACTGCTTACTCAGAGGCCTCCATCTTCTCATCATTCCCTTTGCATTGGAAGCTCTGTTAAATAAGGAGAAGCAGGAAAATACCAAAAAACTCAGCCCTGTGCCACCCTCTGCTGAGCGGCAGTGAGATGTGAACTGGGCCTGGCGCTGCCATTTGTGTCACACCGAGTCGGCCACCACTGCCGCTGGCACGCGATGGTGGGGATTAATTGCGATTCATTTAATTAAGTATGGATGCAGGGTTTGAAATGCCACTGCGAAGGCGTCCTCACCGTGTGGCACTGCTGTCAGCAGAGACCAAATGACACCAATGACAGCAAAACGGGCCGTTGGTCTGTCGAGCAGGGGGAAGAGTCTCGTGTGGGGCTCCCGGGGGTGCCTCTGTCTGCGTGCTGGTGCAGATGGTCACAGCTGCCACGAGTGGTGCCCATCCTCAAGCGCTGCGCGCAGCCCTGGGGACGTGCGGGTCGGGGCAGCCCTGCTCTGCCTGCCTTCAAACCCAATCGCCACGATGAAAAATGAGCCAGAAGCCAAGCGAGCCGTCAGATATCCCCTGACTTGTGCTTGCTGCAATGTAGTGACCCGATCATAATTAACCTCCCGTCGTAAATGAAAAGAAGTATACACTTATGAACAGCGACAGAGGCCGATGCCAATTAAAGCGGAAGCTGGCGCGGGCTTCCTCGGCGTGCGGCAAAGAGCAGAGGCTGATGAAAGGAGATGAAAGGCGTGGGATGCCTGCGGTGCCGATGCAATATTCAGGAGGTCGCAGAGCCAGGCGGCGCCCGGCCGTCGGGGCGTCCTTCGGGGCTGCGTCCCCGGGGGCGGTGGCGGGGAGCACCCAGCTGCCCCCTGCACAAAGGGCCCGGGCGGGCGGATGGGGAGCGGGCGGGCTGCCACGCCTCCGCCTTTGTCTCTCTTTCAAAGCCAATATCCCAGCCCCAGATGGGTTAATACATAATGCAGACAAGCAAGTAATTGGTTGCCTTTGTATGGCCGTCAGCGATCGGTCCCCGGCCCTCTGATCCCCCATTAGTGGTCATGCAAACAACCCTTCCACCCAATTAAGCACAGCTTTGATAGCGCCCTTCCCAATGATGCGCCAGCCCCAAAGCAGCGCTTCGCACATGAGCCACTACCTGTTACCCGGCTTCGGGGACGCGTGGCCCCGCTGCTCGCCGTGCCCCAGCTGCTGAGCCCTGCCTGCAGCCCCCGGCCTGAAGGGAGGCCGGGCTGATAAATGAGCTGGGCTAACTCTGTATTAAAGAGCTGGAAATGGGATGTTAATATACCCCAACTGCTCATCTCGAGAACACATGGGCTCCCGCTTCCCAAAGGCAGCGGTAATGAGGCGGGCTGGGACGCCCACCGCCTCCTGCACCTGCCAGGCACACAGAGGGCAGCCTGACGCCGTTCCTCTAAGGCATGCTGGCATCTTCCCACTGAGCATCCCAGTGCCATCCCACAAAGCATCCCAGCATGCCCACTGCAAGCATCCTGCTACCATTCCTTACAGCGCCTGACCATCCTCCTCTAAAACATCCCTGTCTTTTCTCCTGAAGCATCCCAGTATCATCCCTCAGTGCACCCAGCATAATTCCCACCTCAGTGCCTTCCCCTAAAGAATCCCAGTGCATCCCCCTCAAACGTCCCAGTGTGCTCAGCAAAGGTAGTCCAGTTGCTTATAGAGCTTCCTGGCAGCACACTCTGAAACATCGCCCCGTCACTCCTAAAGCATCCCAGCATCACCACCAAAAGCAGACCGGTTTGCTCTGCAAAAACATTCTGACATCATACCCTAAAGCATCCTGGCACCATCTCCTGAAACACCTCAGTGTCACCATCTAAAACACCCCAGTGCACTCCCCACATCAACTCTGCAGTACGTCAGTGTTATCCCCTGAAGTATCCCTAATGCACCCCGTGTGATCCCTTAAACACCCCACTATGCTTCCCTAAAGCATCACATCATCTCCACAACTTTCCAGTCTTATCCCCTAAGCATCCCGGCACACTCCCCTAAAGCATCCCACGTTAATCCTTGTGTATATTATCTCACAAAGCAGCCCACGTCATTCCCTTACGCTCCCTTAAAACATCCCATACCACCCCGCTCCCCTAAAGCTTCCTGTCTGTTTCCTACAGCACCCCACCGTTATCCTCTAGGACGCCTCACTTTGCCCCTCTCACGAGGTGCTCTGGGGTCCCGTCCAGCCCCCAGCCCCACTGCAGGCTTCACCCCGCTGCCCCCCTCCTTTCCCCCCCCCCCCGCCCTACGCTGTGTCACACGGCTCTGTATAAATATTCAACACAGCGCATTTCCAGGCGGCAGCGGGGGGCTCCCGGGGGGTATGCGGTATGCTAATAGCAGGGCTGGATGGGATTTACATCCCCGCACAGGCACGGGGCCGCTCATTTGCCCATACAAATGCCTTGTCATTACCGGCTGGGCCACCGTGCAGCTCCGTGCCTCAGTTTCTCCGTCCCGACGCCATCCGCAGTACGCAGAAGGTCCTGATGTGCAGGGAAAGGGCAACTCTGGCAAACAGGGATACGGAGATGAAGTCTCCATAACTGCTTTATGGGGGAGCGCCCAGGCACACAAGTCCTGAGCAAACAGCCGCTAATCGCCGAATTAAAGGGCAATTAGGTGCCCTGGCGGCAGAATCAATCTGCTAGCAGCCCCCCACTTGCTGTTTGCCCAGCTGATTGTGGGGACAAATAGGGGGATTAGGGACCAGGGGTTCCTTTGTCTGCTTTCCCCGACCCCACGAGGAGGGTACAGGAGTGGGGTCTGCGTGTGCCCCCCCCTTGGAGCCCATCACACCACCTCGGGCCAGGATGACTCCCAGGTTAACAGGGAGGGTTTTCTGCTCTGCTCCCAGGCCCAGGCCGTGCCCCTGCTCCCTGCTCAGCTTCTAAAGGCTCACAGATTCCCCAGTGCTGCGGCATTCAATATTCTGGCATCACTTTCAATTACCATTCCAGAGAAGCGTTCAGATAATAGTAGGATAAACCTGTTATTCTGCAGGTCACTTACTTCTGCTTTTTCCTAACAGGACTCCCCCAGCTGCTGAGTCCCATCAGGAGAAATGGGAAAGATTTGTGCTATTCTTAAATCAATATTTATTTGCTTTCTCTTCTTTGCCCACGAACAAGAGGGAGCGTGAATAATGCATGGCCCTGAGGACACCCAGGCAGGAGTTGTGCATCACTGGGCTCTAAGGATTTTTCTGGCTGCGGAGTTGTGCCCCAGAGAATCCCAGATATGCAGAGATGTGCACCCATCTGCAATGCCAGCATGGTGCCAGATGTGTGCACCCACCCAGGTGTGCTGCACTCTTCCAGATGTGCATCCAGGCCAGTTCCGAATGTGTGTGTACTTGCTGACAGAAGACCTCCAGATGTGCGGCCAGATGTGAACTCAAATTCCACTTACATTCATAGTAGAAAGCACACAAAGCATTGCTGTGCCTCCAGATACGCTCAGATGCAAAGCATCCATCTGTCCAGATGTGCCCACGCTGTGGCACACCCACACCTACAGATGTTTGATCAGCTGCCACACCGGGACCTTCCCAGCTGCTATCCTGCACAGCAGCTGAGCCCTCCAGCTATTTGAGTGCACAGCTGGATGTGAGCATCCCAGAGACCCAGTTTACCCACACAGGGTTGGGCATCAACCCAAGGATGCCTCCAGATAAGAACCTGTGCTGGTGCACATCTGTACCTCTCCTTTGCAGACGTTCATCCAGATGTGCGCACCAGAAAGTGGCTCTTCTGGGAGAGGGGAGCATGGGCACCTCCAGATGTGCACACACGCTTCCCTGTTTTCTCCCCATTACCCGTTCCCACCTCTTCTCTCCTCTGAGCGTCCCCTCCGATGCCAGCCACAGCTTTGTGCTTTCGCAGCCTGGTCATTAGCGGCACCGTAAGGAGCCCCTTTCCACTCCCGGGGGGTGCGCTGAGGGGCCGCAGTCGGGCTCCAATTAGCACCAGCAGGAGCCAGCTTCGAAAAGACATTGCTTCACACGTTAGCCTGGCACATTTATAAAGCGGCTAATTGCCAATTATGAATTCGGGAGATACGCTGCGACTGCAGAGCCGTGGGGTGCCGGCTGCCCCGGGGGCGCTGCTGGAACCGGGACCCAACACAGATTTTGGGATGAGCTGGGGATCCCCAGCTGCCTCTTCCTACCCTTCCTCCTTCTGAAGCCAAAGTGGAGCCCGACTGGTGGAGCTCACTCGGGACATTTCGACATGTCGACATCTCAGCAGCCGCCCCCCCTCTTAGATTCCTCCCCATTTGGGACTCCCCCACCCCATCCCTTTGCCCCTCATCTCCTCAGCCCCCACCCCCAGGCTACCCCCAAATAGGAGAGTCCCTTTGCCCCCACTCTAACGGTGACCTCCCCCTCCCCCCCCGGACACTCTCCCTCTCCTCTCCCCCCGCTCCGCACCGCTCTGGCCGCGCCCCCCTCCCCGCCGGGTCTGGGGGCGGTGCTGCGGGCTGGGCCGTGCCGAGCTGGGCTGGGCTGGGCTGGGTCCGGCCGCGCTGTGCCGAGCCGTGCCGGGCCGTGCCGTGCTGGGTCCGGCAGAGCCGGGCCGAGCCGTGCCGGGCCGAGCAGAGCCAAGCCGTGCTGGGTCCGGCTGAGTCGCGTCGTACCGGGTCCGGCCGTGCCGTGCCGAGCCCGGTCGGACCGAGCCGGGCCAGCATGCTGCGGTACCTTCTGAAGACGCTGCTGCAGATGAACCTGTTCGCGGACTCGCTGGCGGCCGAGATGTCCAACTCCTCCGAGCTGGTGCTCGGCATCAACGGCAGCGAAACCGCGCTCGACCTCCGCAACCTCACCGCCGGCAACGGTACGCGTCCGGCCCCGGCCCGGCCCCCACTCCCCCCGCTGTCCCCCTGTCCCCCTGTCGCGCTGTCCCCCTGTCCCCTTGTCCCGCTGTCCCACTGTCCCGTTTTCCCTCTGTCCCGCTGTCCCGATCCCGCTCAGACGCGGGACACAGCGCGCAGCCCCGAACCCCAGCTGGGGCTGACCAGGGACCTTCCCCTTGTTCCCACACCCACCGTGTGTCCCCATGCCGGGATCTGTCCCGTGTCGCCAAACCAGCTCCATTTTTTTCAAGCTTGTCCCCTGTCCCCAAACTGGGAGGGGCTCCTCATCCCCAAACACACTGTATGTTGCCGAGCTGGCTCCGTGCTCCCAGCCGAGAGCGACCCATGTCCCCATATCGTTCCCGTGCCCCAAACAGGAACTGCTCTCGCGTCCCCAGACCGGCTCCGTATCTCTAAACCGACCCCGTGTCCCCTAATTTGTGCCGATTCCCCAGACCGACCTCATGTCCCTCCGTCCCCACAGTTCGCTCCCGTGTCCTACAGCCGGGACAGACCCGGGGCACAGAGGGTTCTGGAGCTGCGGGGTCGTTCTCCTGTATTTAGAGCACTGTTTGAGTTTTTCCTTTTTCTTTGAGCCCGAACTTTTTGCTTCGTTTGGGTCCAAGGCGGCCGATCCGTGTTGGGAGCCCCGCGGGTCGCCCCGTCCCACCGCAGCCGGCTGGGTTCAGGGGGGCACGGCGCGGTCCCCCCCCGTGCCAATTAGCCCCGCGCCCAGCTGCGGCCCCACCCCGCTGTTCCCCCCCGACCCCCGGAACTCTGCAGCATCCGATCCCCACTGCAACGCATCCTGTTCCTATGGCAACGTCTCCCCCCGCCCCGCAGGGGTGCCCCTCCTTCCCCCCCCGAGTCCCTCTGCTGGTGCCACCGATCGCCACGACCGCCCCCAGCCCGGCTCAGGCTGGCACCTGCGTGTGCCCGGCACTGCGAGACAGCAGTGACACCGCGCGGCCGAAATCCGAACTGCAGCTCCGGCGCTGCCCCACGGCCAGGCGGCGCCGGGGCCGCGGCGGGACGCAGGGTGGTGGCACTGGGGCCACGCGCGCGATTTGTGGCTCCAGCGCCGCTCTGGGGGCTCCGTGTGCTCAAAGCTGTGCTCTGAGCTCTGGCACGGCATAAATCCAATGTAGTCACAATGAACGTTAATTAATTCTTCTGCCCTAACGGTAGGGATTTCCCTGGATCCATTGAGAAGATCTGTATACTCATTGGAGAGGGACGGGTTTTCCTTTTTTTCCTTTTTTTCCCCTTTTTTTCCTTTTTTCCCTTTTTTTCCTTTTTTCCCTTTTTTCCCTTTCCTTTCCCTTTCCTTTTCCTTCCTCTTTTTTCTTTTTCCCAGTCCCATGTCTCTGAGGTTCCACTCATTTCCTGCCCTGCACCCTCCTGGCCTTGCTCCCACTCCACCAGTACCCGGCAAGAGGACCAGGGAGGGGACACACCAGGGTGACACGGGGAGACACCAACACCTCTCTCCGCATCCTGAGCCCCAGCCTCTTTCCATCTCACGCCTTTCCACCCGCACATCTGGGCTATGCCGCACCCTTCCCCAGGCTCCCACCCGCGGCTGGAGGACTCCGCACCCCGCATCGTGGAGCACCCCTCGGACCTGCTGGTGTCCAGGGGTGAGCCGGCCACTCTGAGCTGTAGGGCGGAGGGCCGCCCGTCACCCACCGTGGAGTGGTACAAAGACGGAGAGCGCGTGGAGACGGACCACGAGGACCCCCGCTCCCACCGCATGCTGCTGCCCAGCGGCTCCCTCTTCTTCCTCCGCATTGTGCACGGCCGCCGCAGCAAGCCTGACGAGGGCATCTATGTGTGCGTGGCCAGGAACTACCTGGGTGAAGCCACCAGCAGGAATGCCTCACTGGAGGTGGCTGGTGAGCCCAATTGCACGATCCCCATCTCCACCCCCATCTGTGTCCCTGTCCCCATCCCTATCCCCATGGTCTCTGTGGTCCCACACATCTCCAGACCTACACCCTTCTGGCCTCGCCCCTTCTCAGACAGCATCTTAGGGGAAGGGTTGTCACTCCACTGTGTGCTGGAAAATGTCACCTCGGGGCTCGATTCGAACACTTGGAGCAGGGACTTTTTGCCCCCAGAAGGGGCTCCTGCAGCAAAAAGAGTGTAGGGATGGGGAAACCGAGGCAACAACATTGCAGCCTCTGTCCCTGCAGTGCTGCGGGATGACTTCCGGCAGTCCCCTGGGGATGTGGTGGTGGCAGCAGGTGAGCCGGCTGTGCTGGAGTGCATCCCGCCCCGCGGGCACCCCGAGCCCACCGTCACCTGGAAGAAGGACGGCACCCGGCTCAGCGACAAGGATGAGCGCATCACGGTGAGGGCCAGGAGTCCCCAGCAACCAGGTCGGTGTTTGGGCCTCCGCTGAGTGCGGCTCCCTGGCAGATCCGCGGTGGGAAGCTGATGATGGCCACCACGCGCAAAAGCGACGCCGGCATCTACGTCTGTGTGGCCACCAACATGGTGGGGGAGCGGGACAGCGAGCCGGCCGAGCTGGTGGTCTTCGGTGCGTAGGGACGGAGAGGCAGCAGGGGGGGTTGGTGCCGGCAGGGGGGGCTCACAGCTGCTGCCCCTCAGAGCGCCCCGCGTTCGGCAGACGGCCACAGAACCAGGCGGTGCTGGAGGACCAGGCGGCCGAGTTCCCTTGTGAAGCACTGGGGGACCCCCCGCCCACCGCCCGCTGGCGCAGAGAGGATGGTGAGCTGCCGGCGGGAAGGTGAGCGGGGTGAGGAGTTGGTGGGGGGCAGCATGTTGCAATCTGGGGCGTCTGCTATGGGATGGGTGTCCATGTAACCCATCCATGTCCCCATTGCACCCAAACCTTCACATCCAACATTCATGTGGCATCCTACACCATGGTGTCTCACATCCATGTGACATCCTGCATTCCTATCGCATTCCACATCACCTTTTGCATCCTGCACCTTCATTACATCCCAAATCCTGATCCAAATCTCTATCATATTCTGTACCTCTCTGATGTCCCACATCCCCCTCATGTTTCACATACTCTTCCCATCCCACATCTATAACACACCCCACATCCTTGTTGCATCCTTCACACTCACTGAGACATCATGCGTCTCCATCCCCATCTCCATCCCTACTGCCACCACGCCTTCCATCCTAGCTGCATCCTGCATTCCCATCATATCCCCACCGTATCCCACATCCCCGTGGCACTCTCGTGGCACCTGGTGCCCTGTCGGCACCGTGGGCTCTGGGGTCTCTCCCCAGGTGGGAGCTGCTGGCTGACAACACACTGAGGATCAGTCGGGTGCGGGCAGAGGATGAGGGAACCTACACCTGCATGGCCGAGAACAGCGTGGGCAGGTCGGAGGCCTCGGGCACCCTCATTGTGCGCGGTAAGAGGGGACCCCAAATGTGTGTGCAAGGGTTAAGATCACGTCAGGGTCAGGGTTAGGGCATGGAACAGCAGTGGGCACAGCTCTGAGCTGCTGGAGCTCAGGGAGTATTGAGACACTGCTCTCAGACATAGGGCTTGGTTTTTGGGTGATGCTACATTTGGACTCAAAGAGCCTCGGGGGTCTCTTCAGCTGGGGATATTCTGTGATTCTGTGATTCGCTCTCTCCCTTTATGTCAGTGCCCCCGCAGCTCATCACCCGGCCCCGCAACCAGACTGTGCCCCCTGGCCAGAGTGTGACCTTCCAGTGTGAGACCACAGGAAATCCTCCGCCGGCCGTGTTTTGGCAGAAGGAAGGCAGCCAGGTCCGTCCCCTCCCCACCCCCACCCCCACAGCACCCCACCGTGCACCAAAGCCTTCTGCCTCCCCCTCTGCCCAGACACTGCTGTTTCCTGGGCAGTCCCCACCACCTGCCAGCCGCATTTCGGTAGCATCCAGCGGTGCCATGACCATCGCCGCCGTGCAGCCCACCGACGCCGGCTATTACCTGTGCCAAGCCATCAGCGTGGCTGGCAGCGTCCTGGCCAAGGCGCTGCTGGAGGTGGAGGCAGGTAGGTGTGCTGATGGGTGGCGATGCTCCGGGCACCGAAACAAAGGGGCTCACTCAACTTTATCTCCATGGCAGCGCTTGCTGAGCCCCGACCGCCAGTGATCCGCTGGGGCCCCGCCAACCTGACGGTGCTGCCGGTGGGGGCCACGGTGCAGCTGCCCTGCTGGGCAGAGGGTGAGCCCCCACCCCATGTGGGGTGGCTGAAGGATGGGCGCACCGTGCCGGGCTCTGAGAGCCGCGCCAGCCTGCTGGAGAATGGCACCCTGCAGATCAGCAACATGCGGGTGAGCTGCACCAGCACAGGGGAACAGGGAGACACTGTGGAGCTGGGGTGGCACTGAGATGCACTGAGCAAGAGGTGGTGGGTCAAAAGGGTGGTGGGTGCTCAGAGCGATGGGCACCCAAGGTGATGGGTGCCCCAGGTGCTGAGTATCCAAGATGATCTGCACCAAAGGTGACGGGCACTCAGGGCGATAGGTGCTCAGGGAGATGGGACAGGAGCTGTTCTCCTTGCAGGTGACAGACTCAGGCCAGTATGAGTGCGTGGCCACCAGTTCGATGGGTGAGATGCGCTGGAGCGGGTCCCTGCAGGTGCAAGGTGGGTCATGGGGATGCAATGGGACCAGAGATGCTGTGGAACTGGAGACGCAGCTTCCGTGGATCTCAGTGCCTCCGTCTGCAGGTGATGGATCTCTCCTCTCCACACCACCCCCAGAGCCTGGCATCCTTCCAGGGCCACCCTCCACCCCGCTGGTCACCAATGTCACCAAAAGCAGTGTCACCCTGACCTGGAAAGGGAATGAGCAAAGCGGTGGCACTACAGTCACCTACATTGTGGAAGCTTTCAGGTACCCCGACCTCCTCTCCAGGTTCAGAGTGACATGGTGACGTAGTGCCACCTTGCCATGGGTCACCTCTATGCCCTCGCAGTGAGGCTGTGGGTGGCCCGTGGCAAACAGTGGCAGCCAATGTGGAGGGTGAGACACACACAGTGCAAGGCCTCACCCCTGACACCACGTACCTCTTCCTGGTGCGGGCACTCAACGCCCATGGGCTCAGTAACCCCAGTGGCATCTCAGAGCCCATCCGCACCCAAGGTGAGACCCAGCAGAGGTGCAAACAGACACGGCATCCTGGGTGCGCCCGCATGCCCACACACCCAGCTCTGCCCCTTTTCAGCGGACACCAGCCCCACGCCACAGGTGTCCCCAGAGCTGCGTGTGGCCGTGCACCTGCAGGAGCCCGTGGTGCTGCCGCCGGGTGCCGTGCGCCTCGCCTGGACCGTGAGCGTGGGGACACGGCGGGTGGGAGGGGACACGGTGCTGCACCTCCATCACCACCCTCATCTCCCGTGTCCTCAGGTGGAGCCCCCATCTCCCTCTGTGCAGGGATACCAGGTGCTGTACCGGCGGCGCGGTGGGCGCTGGGAGGCGTGGGATGTGCGGGCACCGGGCGAACGGGGGGCTCTGCTCACGGGGCTGCGCCATGGCCAGGACTACGAGGTGAAGGTGCGGCCCTTCTACCTGCACCTCCACGGCCCCGACAGTGCCGTGCGCGCCCTGCGTATGCCCGAGGCAGGTGAGTGTGGGGCTGGGGGTGCAGGGTGTCCCCGCCATGGGATGCACTGTGGCCGTGATGTTCCACGCCCCGCAGCCCCCAGTGCTCCACCAAGGGCTGTCAGCGTGGCTGGAAATGGCACCAGCGTCCGCATCTCCTGGCAGCCTCCACCGCCAGCTGAGCAGAATGGGGTCATCCTCGATTACCGAGTAAGTGGGGCCTGCAGGTCCCGCATCCTCCCACATCCCATATTCCCATCACATGCCACATCCCCATCAAATCCTCATCACATCCCACATATGTGTCATATCCATTATTCCTACAACATCTCACATCTCCATCCCATACCTTATCTTCAACATATTCCATATCCTTATCACATCCTGCATCCCACAACTTTACTGCATCCTATGACTCCTCTGCATCCCAATCTCCATCTCGTTCCACATCCCCATTACCCCCCATGTATTGATCTCAGCCTACAGCCCTATTACACCCTGTATCCCCGTTGCATTCTGCACTCCCATCGTATCCCATATCTCCATTGCATCTCGCATTTCCAGCACACCGCACGTCCCCAGCCCCCGTCCTAACACTGCGCCTCTGCCCCAGATCTGGTGCTTGGGCAACGAGAGCCGCTTCCACATCAATCAGAGCGTGGAGGGGACAGTGCTGGCCACAGTGCTGCGGGGGCTGGTGCCCGGCGTCCCCTACCGCGCTGAGGTGGCTGCGGCCACAGGGGCAGGTGTGGGTGCTCGCAGTGCGCCCATCTCCATCCGCATCGGTGAGTGCCCCATGGTGCTGCAGCACCCACGAGCGGGGATCTCTGTGGGGCTGGTAGCCAGGGATGGCTGCTTGGCACCGCTGGCATCGGTGTGCTTGCAGCACCCCCAGTGGAGCAGGACGTGGGGCCGGTGGGATGGGGCAGCATGGCGGAGCGCATGGCCGCGGTGGCGAGGCGGCCAGCCTTCATCGCTGGCGTCAGCGGTGCCCTCTGGCTCATCCTCGCTGGGTTTGCAGCATGGCTCTACAGCCGCCGCCGCCGCAGGAAAGAGCTGAGCCACTTCACAGGTGTGGATCGCAGCCTGGGACCCCCATCTGCTGCCCGCCCCACACTCACACAGGGTTTCTTGTTGCAGCCTCCTTTGCCTTTGCGCCCACGGGTGCATCCATGGGTGCTGTAGGGCCGCGTCACGGGCCCACCGCATCCTCACTGCCACCCCCAGCTCTGTCCACACTCACCTTCCCACACACCCCAGCACCAGCACACAGCAGCCCCAGGTAAGACCACATTCCCCCAGACCCGCAGCCCAGCCAGGGGTCCCCCATCACCATCCGTATCCCTGCAGGAATGCTCATCCGTGGCTGGCGGATGCGTGGCGTGGTGGTGGCCTGGATGCCACCGAGAGATACTACAACGGTGAGGGGCTGCAAGGAGCTGGCGGTGTGCTGGGGGTGGGACCAACCCTAATGGGGTGGCCGTGCTCTGCAGAGGCCGGCATCTCCCGCTACATCGCCCAGACGGAGCCCTTCGGGCCCGGGAATGCCGAGGGGCCCATCTACAGCAGCATCGAGGCAGGGGGCGACGAGCTGCGCACCTTCCACCGGCCCTGCTCACAGCATGGCCCTGAGACCCTGTATGGCCACTCAGCTCCCGGGCAGCACGGTAGGATCACAGCGGTGGGGGGACACTGGCACACATCCCTGTGCCTGCAGCCCCACGTCCCTCATCCCAAAGGGAAAAATTTGGGGAAAGCGGTGCAGACGCCGGTGCTGAGCTGGACCGAGCTGCTGCCCCCACCACCCTCGGCCAGTGAGCTCAGCCAGTACACTGAGGAGGAGGAGGAGAAGGAGGAGCAAGAGGAGATGGATGAAGAAGAGGATGGCATGTGAGTGTGCATGGCTGGGGGAGCTGCGGTGTGCTGGCTCCAGTGCCCACCCTGTGCTCCCCACAGATTGGGGCTGGAGGAGCACTGTCCTTCCACTGAGGATGCCCCCCGGCGCGCTGCCTCCTCACCTGCCACCCCCACGGGCTGCTGGGCCCCGGCTGCAACAGCCTCTATGCCCCACGAGGACACTCGCAGCCTGCAGCGTTTCAACAGCCCCCGTTCACCCCGGTAGGAGATGTCACATCACCCCTCACCCCATCGCCCCACCGGCACAATGGGATCATCACCATCCGTGCATGATGCTATCATGAGCCTGGGCTAGAACAGCCTGCCTGGGACATGGCAGTCCAGCCGTGCCGCCATGCCACTGCCCAGCTGTGCTGCAGTCCTGCTGTGCTAAGCAATTCAACCATGCAGCTGTGATCCATCTGTGCCATTGTGACCCAGCAGTGCTGCTGCACTTTAGTCGTGTCACTGAAATTCAGCAGCACTGTTGTTGGTCAGATGTGCTGTTGAAATCCAGTTGTTCAATTGCATTCCAGGTTTGCTGTTGGCATTCGTCTGTGCAGTTGCACTCCGGCTGTGCCTCTGTGATCCAGCTGTGCCGCTGCAGCCAGGCTGTGCCATTCAGTGCAGCCACACAGCTGTCATCCAGACATTCCATCCTACCCCACTGTGCCATCGCTCTGCTCTGCCCTGACACAGCACAGCACTGGGGCGTCCCCCGTGTCCCCTTCTCCCCCCACTTCTTTCCGACAGCTCAACATCACTCCGTGTCCCCTCTTCCTCAGGAGGCCCCCGCGTGGCACTGCACCCTCACCCAGCCCCCCGCTGAGCCCCCGCAGCCCAGACACATGCAAGGGTCCCGCGCCCCGAGCCCACCGCCCCCACGGCGCAGGTGAGCCCCACAGTGCCGGCACAGGGCTTGGGGGGCCTTCACTATGTGGAGGGTGCCTGACGTGCCATCATCTCCCTCAGGGAAAACACGCTCAGAGACCCCGAAGGGCCATCCAAAGCCCAAAGGCAGCCGCTACCCTCGGGAGCAGTGGACAGGAGGTGGGTGCGTGCCCAGAGGGGGCCGGGAGCTGCCCGCAGCGCTCAGCCCTCGCTCTGTCCCCGCAGCAGACCTGCCGCCGCCCCCACTGCCGCCTCCGGGCGAGATCCCCTCTCCCAGTCGGGAGACGAGTGGAGTTGAGCGTAGAGCTGCCCACCGCCCGCCCCGCCAAGGTAAACTGGGATTCGGCCGCAGCGCCAAACCGCCGGCAGCGCCGCCAACCCAGCGCCGTCCCTCCCCGGCAGGTGACGTTGTCCCCTACAGCAAACCCTCCTTCCTGGCCCGCGGCTGCTCCACCGCCGGCAGCGCCTCGTCCTGCGGCTCCTCCGGCTCCCGCGGGCACGGCTCAGGGCGCAGCCCCCGCCCGGACCCCCTGGCTCCCCGCCCGCCGCAGGAGGAGCGATAAAGCGGCGCGGGGACGGTGACACGGGGACGGGTATGCGTGGGGTGCTCGTTCATTTCTGTCTGTAAATAGGTGTGCACAGAGCCAGAGGGTGGGGGTCAGCTTGAGGGGGTTGAGGATGCACTGGGTGGGGACAAGGATGGGATAGATGAGGGGTGAAGACACTGGGAGGAACAAGGATGTTTGGGACAGTCGCTGGGGATGGAAAGATGAGGACCCTGGGGACAAGGCCAGCTGGAGGGGAACATGAGCAGAGGGCCTCCCACCCACCTCAGTGCTCCCCAGCTGTGCACGTAGAGTTTGCCAGCAGAGAGCCCCTTCTGGGGGAAATGATGAATAAAGCTGGATTGTAGCCAAGCTGGGAGGGCTCTGGCCTCAACACTGCTTTAACACAGGGGCTGCCACGCTTCTGTCCCTTCTGTCCCTGGAAGGGAGCCCACCCCACTGGCTGCCCACTCACGGCATCCCCATGAGGCTGCCCATCCCTATCCCCTTCCCTGTCCCTGTCCCCAGGGCCACCTCCCCGCACAGAGGGGATGATGCCAGGCCGTGCAGGGGGGCAGCAGCCCCCTCACCACCCCCGTCGACGTCCTCGAGGCTGAAGCAGAGGCTGTCGACGGCCACAGCCAGCACACGGGCAAAGCTGGCATCGAGCAGGAAGGAGCCATCAGAGGAACTGGCCAGGCTGCAGCGGGTGCTGGGGACAGTGTCCTCCGTGACAGACCCCCATCCGTTCAGCAGAGACCCCCCCGGCGAGCCCTCATGACCCCACACCTCGGGCTTCTCTTCCTCCTCCTCTTCCTCCTCCTCTCCCTCGCCCATCTCAGAGGCGGGAGGCCCGCAGATGTACCCGTAGGTGTGGGGAGGGGACAGGGGGCGGGGCACAGGGACGCGCTGGGGATGTGCTGGGGACACCTCCGGCCTGGGGGTGTTTGTGGGGCTGTGGGCCTCCTGCACCCTCTCCAGGTCCTCGGCAACCCTCTGCGGGGTGAGGACCCCATCACTGAGCGCTGGTGAGAGGCGGCCGGACTCTGGGGACACGTCTTTGGTGGCCATCAGCGTGTCTCTGAGCACAGACATGTCCCTGGGGTTCTGGGGGACCATGGACATGTCGTCAGGGTGCCTGGCTGCTGGGAACATATCTCTGGGACACCTGGTGGCTGAGAACATGTCCCTGGGGTGCTGAGTGAATGGGGACATGTTCTCCTGGACTGTGGTGGCCAGGGAGTGACTGGAGGCTGGGGACAAGTCTCTGGGGCTCCTGGTGGCTGGAGACTTCTCCTTGGAGTGCCCAATGACTGGGGATCTGTCCCTGGGGCACCCAGTCACCGGGGACACATCTCTGCTAGGTCTTGTGGCCAGTAACATTTCCTTGCGGCTCACAGTGGCAGGAGACATATCTACGGGGCTCCTGGTGACGGAGGACTTGTCCCTCTGGTTCCTGGTGTTCTTGCTGTTCCTAGTGACTGGGGACACAGTCCTGGGGCTCCTGGTTTCTGGGGACATGCCCCCAGGGTTCCCAGTAACCATGGACATGTCTTTGGGGTTCCCAGTGACTGGAGAAGTGTCCCTTGAGCACCCCATAGCTGGGAACCTGCAGGCACATAGAACAAGTTGGCTTTTGCCACTGCAGCACCTGACCGGGGCAGGGAAGGGGGCAGCCTATAGCACCCGGGGCATCCCCTAGAGACACACAGACTCACCGGGTCCCCATGGGGTGCCAGATGTGCGGATGTCCTGTAGGTGCCACCAGCATCCCAGCACCAATTGATGCCACCGAACTGCGCCGTGGTTTCGGGGAGCTGATGGTGGGCAGCCACCATGGGTCCTCTCCTGCTAGTGCCGTGTCACCATCCTGTCCTTTCTGCTGAGGCCATCTGTCCACTGAGTCAAAATGTGTCCCCCACTCCCCACCACACAAGGGCACGGGAATGGCCCTGAGCCCAGCCACCGGCACTGGGGAGCTGTGCGTACGGTCCAGCTCTGCATGGGGACACAGCCATCAGCCACCATCCTGCTGTTCCCAGCATGCCGCCCCATCTCCCTGTCCTGTTCCCACCTCGCTTGCGGATGTGCTCCCACAGTGCCAGGCTGGACGTGCTAGTTTTGGGGTGTTCTCTGCAGAGGTGGCTGCAGCTGGGGGTCGTCGCAGGGCTGAGGCTCGGCAGCTCTGAGGTCAGGGCTGTAGGGGAAAAGCTGTCAGGCTTGGGCACCCACGGGTGCTGAACCTGTGAGCCCCTCCATCCCAGGCACCATCTGTGCCAAATGGGGGCCAGTACCCACTGTGTGTCCCAGGCGCTCTGTAAGAGGCATTGAGTGGGGATCCCACAGCATCACCTGAGAGTCTCACTAGATTTGGTAAGAGTCCCACAGCATCATGGGGATGAGGAGGTTGGAGGTAGAGGATGGGGTGGCCATAGAACCTTGAAAGAGAGTCTCAGGCACCTGGGTGGGCTTCCCAGGGCAGTACTTGGGCATCCAATGGCACTGGATGAGGAGTCCAAGATACTCTGTGAGTGTCCCACAGAACCCTGGGATCCCCAGTGGGGATCCCGTAGCCCTTTGGGGGCATCCCAAGCATTGGGCAGGACTCCCATAGCACCCTGTGGTGAAGGGTTCCAGGCACGGAGTGGAGGTTCTAAAGCATAGGGGGGTCCCATAGCCCTGGATGGGGGTCGCGACACAGGGCTTACGAGAGGGCTGGGGGTCCCTGCTGTCGCTTCCCAGGAGCCGGCTGCTGAGGCTGCTGCTGCCACTGAGGTTCTGAGGAACACAGACAGGTTTCCAGGGGCTGCTGAGCCATGGCACATCAGCGTCCTTCCGCCTGCAGGGCAAGGGTTGTCATCAGGATCCCACCCCTCCTGTGCCAGAGAACCCCACAGATCCCCACCACAGTCACTCACCCGTGTTGTGCCATGGAGTCCTGGCTGGCGCGACGCTGGCAGATGAGGAGGAGGAGGGCAAGCAGGGCCAGCCACAGCAGTGAGCCAGTGGCTGCGATGACTGCAGGCTGCTGGAGCACCTGCACCACTCCAGTGCTCCCTGCCATCATCTCTGCAAGGGCATAGTCGATGTCACCCTGTGCCGCTGCTCTGTTCCCTGCTGCATCCCACAGCAGACCCCTTTTCCTACCCAAGACGCCACAGGTGACGTTGCTGGGCATCCCCAGCCCTGCACCATTGAACGCGGCTACTTGGATGCAGTATCTGGCCCCAGAGCCATGCAGGAGGGTCTCCAAGCGACGTGTTCCTCCGTCCACTGTACGGTTGGTGGGTTGTAGCCAGCCCTCGCCCAGGGACCAGACCTAATGGGTGCCGATAGGTGAAATTCCCTTGAAGAATCCCCTTGGGATAGATTCTCTTGGATGACTGCCCTTAGAAACCCCCTTGGATGGATTTTCTTGGATGGGCCCCTCTTTGATGGTCCCATCGGTTTGACCTCTTTGGACAGTTCTCCCACCTTGGATGGATCCCTCTTGGATGGAACCCCACCACGAATGTATTCTTCCATGGATGAAGCTCCCTTAGATGGAACTCCCATGGATGACACCCTTGTCCCCTCAAACCTGGTAGCCTCGAATGATGCCATTGTGGGCATCAGGAGGAGGTGGCTCCCAGCTCACAATAACGGTACCATTCCCTGGTGCAGCCTGGCCCACGGTGACACGCTGGGGTGCTGCGCTTGGCACTGCTGGGACAACAACACTGAGCCCCTAAGACCTTCACATAGCTGCCCACATCTCCCTTCCCACCAACCCAACCTACCTTCCTCAGGGATCCAGAGGTGCCAGCTGTTGCTGTCCAAGCCCTGGGTCCCACCGGCGTAGGGTCGGACCTTGAACTCGTACTGGTAGCCCCGCTGGAGTGCAGGGATGACGGTGCTGAGCTCCCTGCCCACGTCCTGCTGGGACCAGGCAGTGCTGGCAGGGAGCAGGCAGCGATACAGCACCACATAGCCCTCTGGAGCTGGCCCTGGTGTCACCATCTGGATGGAACAAGAAGGGTTATGGGGACGTAAGGAGAGGATCTTATTCCACCACTCGGCAGAGGCACACCTACCTTCCAGCGGAGCCAGACAGTGCCGTTGGTGGGCAGCGCAGTGCCGTTGTCCAGCTGCAGCTGCACAGCCAGCAGGTTCCGCCGTGCGGCCTCCCACCGGCCTGCCGGCAGCTGCCCTGCAGGAAAGAGCGAGGATAACGGTGGCTCCTGCACCCCAGAAACACTGGAGACCAAGATGCCTCCTCACGTGGTTACACTTAAATGGACCCTTCGGATGAAGAGCTCTTGAACGGCCTCCTCCACTGCATCCCATGGTGGATTCCCACTGATGCATCTTTCTTAGATGAAACCCTTGGATGGATATCTCTTGGCTGGATCCCACTGTAATGAATCCCCCCTGACAGAACTCCCTAGATGGATCCCCTTGGAGGAAGCAGCTTAGTTGAATCCCATTTGTCCTCTTGGATGGTTCCAAAATGTTCCCCTTTAATCCTCTTGTGTGGAGTCTCCTTAAACTGACCCCTACTCAAGTGATTCCCCTTGAATGCACCTTGTCTGAATGGAACCTTTTGGATAGATCCTGTTGTATGGAATCCTGTAGATGGACCTACTCATACAGAACCCCCTTTTGGAAGGATTCCCACCCCCTTGGCTGCATTCTTCTTGAACGTATCCCCTGAGATGACTGTTAGATAGTTGATGTTGATGGACGCCCTCGGATGGACTCCCTGTGGATAACGCTTTGGATGAACCTCTTTAAAGCAAACTCAGTGAAACTGAGCTCCATGAGATGGCCCCCATCAGCTGCCCCCTCAGATGCCCCCACGTGGTGTCTCTGGTGGTCCCCACTGACCTTCCACACGGAGGCGGGCGGTGGCGGCGGCGCTGCCCAGCTGGCTCTGGGCTGTGCAGACGTAGGCACCGCCATCGGCTGCCGTCACCGCGTAGAGTCGCAGCGTGTGCTCCTGATCCACCTCGTGCCTGTGGACACCAACATCCCATCACCCCGTGTCACCCACACAGGAGAGATGACCTCACCGCCTCCTACCTCCCCCAGGGCAGATCCCCGCTCTCCTTGTGCCACTGAACCCGCGGTGCTGGGTCGCCCTGCGCGCCACAGCTCAGCTCCACCATGCTGCCGGCCACTGCTGTGACATCACTTGGCTGCCGCACGATGACCGGCTTCTCTGCAGGGAGGAGACATCGGGGAGGTGACGTGGTGCGTCTTTGTGCCCCAGGACCCTCATCCACTGCAGCTTACCCAGGATGGTGACTTGAGCACCCCGGCTGTGCCGCTCGCCTGCTGCGTTGGCTGCCACACAGACATAGACCCCCGCGTCGCTCCTGCGTGCCGAGGCCACCCGCAGCTTCCCCTGGGTGAGCTGGTGACGGCCCCCAGCCAGGCGCAGGGTGACGCCGTCCTTCCTCCAGGTGACGCGGGGCTCGGGCTGCCCGGCGGGGGGCACGCAGTCCAGCTCCAGCGCCTGCCCTGCCACGACCACCAGGTCCCCGGGCTGCAGGCGGAAATTGTCCCGCAGCTCTGTGGGAGAGGGCACACGTCCCTTGGTGGAGACACCTTTTAGGATATCCCCCACCCACCCATCACCATCCCCATGATGTCCTTACCAGCTGGGCGCTGGGTGCTGTGTGACTCCATGTCCCCTCCGGAGGGATGGCAGCCCCCCAGGCACAGTGCAGTAGCCCAGAGCCCCAGCGCCATGGCCCAGCCGCCCTCCATGGCCTCCCACTTTGTCCCTGGATGCAGTCCTTCCCGGTAGGGTACAATGGCCGGATGCGAGGGACGGGAAGCACTGGGGGACGCAGTCAGCCTGGCTGGAGGAGCAGCCAGTGGGCTGCACGGAAGGGTGGGTTAAGGAGAAGTGAGATCAGCATGGGGCGGGGAGGGCTGCAGGGCACAATGCCATAAGTAGGGACTGGAGTGAACAGTCTCAAAGGAGCACTGCAAACTAAAATCTGAGGGAAATTTCAGCATTTCCCAAACTGTCTTCGGGTGCTACTTCCCTCCAACTTGGTATTTCCCCACCAGCTGTCTTGCTGACCTCGTTCTTGCTGCCTGAACGGGTGCACTGAGTTGGTTCTTCCCAGCTGCCACCCGTCTTCCTCACATTGTCCCCCCTCCCAGCACACCGCCCCAACACACTGAGCACCTTGGAGCTGGGTAACACATGGAGTTTATTGGTTAGTAGCATCCACGAGTGCTTGCTCACGCTGAGCACCACGGGCTGCCCCAGCACCTGCTCTGGCGCCCCGGCCCTTCGGCTCTGTCCTAAACCTACTCTTGGGGATCCTGCAGCAATGCATGTGGGTGCGCTGAAAAACAGGAGATTTTCACAGAAAATCCAGAGGCAGCAGAGGGTGGCTGGTGGCTGCAAGGGCACTGCTCACTGCTGGGACTTGGGCCCATGTTTGGGTACAGTGCAGCCAGAGGGCTGGGGGCCTTTCCGCTGGTGTTGTGGGTGTGCGTGCGCATGGGAGCCGGCACACCAACTGCGTGCATAGGGTTGTGGTCATGTGCACAGTGCTCTTGCACATGCATAACATGTGCATGCTCTGTGCATGTTCTTCTCCCACACTCCATGCACGCTCCTTCCGCACGCCCCATGCTTTCTGAACACTTATGCTCTCTACATGCTCCATGCACATTTGGAGAATACTCCAAATGCTGGCACACTCTCTGCAAATTGCACACTTACCTGCATGCTCCATGCACATGCCATGCACACATTCTGCACAAGTACTTCTGCTATGCAGTCTGTCTGGTGTTAGCTGCATGCTTGGTGCACGCTCTCTTGACACGCTTTTGACATGTTTTATTTATGTGCTCTTGCACGCTACCTTTGCACGCTGTGTGCATTCTGTCAATACACTCCTGTGCATGCTCTCTTGCGTCCTTTGTACATGCCCTCTCTCCATACTCCAGGCTGCTCTCTCCACTCAGTCCATGCACATTCTCTTGCAGGCTCTGTGCACACTCTATCTGCATGTTCTCTCCATATATTTCATGCACCATCTCTCTGCATGCTCTGTTCGTGATATCCCCACACAATCTGAGCACACTCTCAGCATTCTCCTGCATATGCTCCTGCACGCTCTCTTTGCACACCACATATGTGCTCTCTGCATGTTCTGTGCACGCTCTGTGCACACTCACTCCGTGTGCTCCATGCTCACTTTCTCTGCAGATGGCATGGGCTCTCTGTGCATGCTCCACATATGTCCCATGCATGTGTGTGTGCGTGCTCCCCATGCGCCCCACACCCGGCCCCACGGCCACTACAGCAACACCCCAGCGCCCCAACAGAGTGGAAGGGTGCAGCTCCGGCAAAGTTCAATACCAAATTAGTGACTTTCCACCATGCCCTGTGTCACCCCTCCACGCCTGGGCCAGGCCGGGCCATGCACGTGTTCCCCAGCACCACCGCTAGCTCAGGCACTGATCTCCAGGGCGCTGCCTTCCTCCTGTTCACGGATGGCAGGGACCCCGGTGGCCCGCAGCAGGCGCGCAGCAGAGCGGGATCGCGCAGGGGAGCCGGGGGGTGAGCGGGGTGGCCGGGCTGGAGCAGGTGAGCGATGGTAGCGGCGAGCCCCGCGTCCTGGTGAGCGCCCAGCGGGTGGTGATGAATCCTCCTGAGGTGCTGCAGTGTCCTGCAGGGACAGCATGGCACTGCGGTAAGCGCAATGTTCCGGACTGCCCGCAGTGCATCCCCGCCACCCACTCACCTGCTCCTTGAGGATGTAGAGGGCCAGGGGGGTCTTGCGATCATGGTCGGCACCACGCGGGACGGTCTCAGCTGCGGGAAGGGGAGAAGGTGGGTGCCCACAGCGCGGTGCTGCCCATGCTGCCAGCGCCGCACTCACCCTCGTGCTTGGGGTGCTCCTCATCCTGCTCTGTGTAGTCAGGGGGAGGTGGCTCTGCTTGCTGCTTCGGTCTGGAGAGTGAACAGAGGCTGTGATGATGGTGGTCATGGGTCAAAATTATAGTAACCGTGACAGTCATGGTGGTGGTCATGGTCACGGTCATGTTGGTGTTGATGCTGATGGTCATGGTCACTGCCGTGGCGGTGACGGTAATGAGACTAATGAGAGAATGGCCCCAAACACAGCCATGGGTGACCATGGTGCTATAGGGAGAGTGGAACAGGGTGAGATGGGATAGGACAGGATGGGACAGAACTGGGTGACGTGGGATGTAATGGGATGAGGTGAGAAAGGACAGAACGGGGCAATTTGGGATGGGATGAGATGGAATTAAATAGGATGAAATGAGACAGAATGGAGCAGGATTACAAGGGAGGGGAGCAAATGGGACGAGACGCGACAAGATGGAATGGAGAAGGGAAGGATAGGATGGGATAGAATCAGGGAAGATAGGATGGGATAGGTTAGGAGAAGGATCCCTTTGTCTCCTGTATTCCCCCAAGCCATACTTCTTGGAAGGTTTCCAGCAGGCACAAACAGTCACCAGAGTTACGAGCAGGAAGATGCCACCCGTAGAAAGGATGATGTAGAGGGAACTCCGGCCTAGGAGAGAGCAGTGAGGAGGAAATACCCCCAAAAGCTTAACCAGCAGCATCTTCCAGCAGTGGCCAGCTGTGGGGACACATCTTACGGTAGACAGTGAGCTTCACGGGGACACTGCGGCCCTGGCTGATGGGATTCTCCACCAGGCAGCTGTAGATGTCATCATCTGCCATGAGGACACGAGTGATGGTGAGGATCTTCTGGTCAGGGGAGAGGAGGAGGCGGGAGTCGTTGTTCAGCGGCCGCCCATCCTTCAGCCAGGTGTAGGTGGGCTTGGTGCCATTCTCGTGTGAGCAGTTGAGGGTGAAGAACTCGCTGAGCTCTAGCACTGTTGAGGAGGCCACCAACACTTGTGGCTTTGAGATGGGGACTGTGGATGATGGGAGCCCGGGTGACACCAATGCCCTGCGGGACATGGATGGACCCAGGGGATGGGGAAAGGACCTCCAAACCCCACTGGGGACATGATTCGGCTGCAAGCAAGCCAGAACCATCTCTCCATATGGCCAAACTCCCCATAACTCTCTGCTGCCCAAATCCCTCCCAGAACAAAGCTGTCCTGTTGGGAAAACCCAAACACGTCTGGCACCCTCCTTGCCCTTACTGTCCACAGTGAGGTTGATGGTCTTCTCGCCAGTGAAGGTGTCATCAGTGATGGAGACCTCCACCTCATAGCTGCCCTCGTCGGCCAGCTGCAGCGGGCTGATGAGCAGAGAGCCATTCTCCAGCACGCGGATGCGGTCTCGGTAGTCGGGCCGCAGGTTGCCGATGATCTCGGTGCCGATGGACTGGACGACGGTGACGGGTTTGTCCCGCTTCAGCTGCCACTTCACCACCGGTTTGTCGGGGCTGGCGCTGGCGTAGCGCACTGACAGCAGCGCCGCTTTGCCTGCCGTGCCGCGCACCAGTGCCGACGGGCTGGTGATGTTCACCCCCGCCAGCAGACCTGGGGATGGGGGGAGACAGCGGGCGCCGCGTCCCGGCTCTCCGAAAAAGGGGAAATCCCCTCCCGGAGCTGCGGCAGGCATCCCCAAGAAGCCCTCGACTGCAGCACCCCCATTGTTTGCAGGGAGTTCTTAAAAAACGCGTGCGTTGCCTCAAAAAAGTGCATTGCAAGGGTTGATGCAGCTCTCTGCAAAATGCATTGGAGGGGGTTGATGCATTGGTTGCATCAGGGTCGATGCAATCATTTGCAAAGTGCATTGAAGTACTGACAAGAAGTGCGTTGGTGGGGTTGGTGAATCCCTTTCCAAATGCACAGCGGAGTGGATGCAACCCTTGCAAGGTGCACTGCGGGTCTGATGCAACTCGTGGCAAAGATGCATGCACAGGGATGACATTTTTGCACTGCACCCCCTGTAGAGGATGCTCTTGTGCAGCCAACACTCCTCCCTCTGTGCACAGCCACAGAGAAGGGGATTGAGTCCCCGTGTCCCAGTTTCAAAGGGACCCATCAGTCCCCATCACCCCATGGGGAAATGCAAACTAGCTGAGCTCAAAGCAAGCAACAAACAGCTTACAAAACTGTTCTTTGGAGAAAAAGAAATAAATACATAAATAATGGGTTTACTCCCCAAAACTCCTATCTCCACCAATTTGGGGACTTCATGATTCTCTGTCCAGATGGCATCACTCAGAGGTGAACAAATATCAGACTGAACAGGGGAAATCAGCTGGGGAGGGTGAGGAGGGAGGCGAGCAGAGCAAGAAAGGGTTTAAACAAGCTCGAAAGTCACGGGACCTATTGGTATGCAGCATCCGTCCATCCGCCCTCCCCAACAGCCATGAAGCTCAGCCTTGAAAAGGCACTGCGGGGTGAAATTCTGGGGGAAAATCTGGCTGGAGGTCTAGGATGCAACCCCTGCCCCATCCCTCAAACACAACTGGGTGCCTGTTTTAATCCCACTGCTTTGTTTTTTCAGGTTTTTGGGGGGATAAAGGGAGGGATTTAGAGAGCATCACACAAACCTCTCCAAAACTCTAATGCTTCCCCAAAAGGTCAATGATTTCTTCAACCCCACCCCCTCCACTCCATGTAATAAATTTTGGAGTTCAAAACTGATGCAATTTGCATCCTCAGTCCGACATCATCTGTGCTCCTTATGGGTCCAAATTTCAGAGAAAGGGTGCAAAACAGCAGCTGCCTTCCTGCACCAGGCCCAGGGTGGGGGCTAGTACCTCAGGGGGTGCTGAGTCCCCACAATCAGTTTTCTGGGGGGGATTTAGGGAATTTGTGATACTTTGGGGTGAGCTGCAGCGGGATGGGGGTAACGGGAGATAACAGGGGCAACCAAAGGGCTGTGAGGGGAAGGTGAAGAGTGAGCAAGAAAAGAGCTGGGGAAGCCAAGGAGCTGCTGCCAGAGCACGGGGGGCCGCCCCCCTTCCCCCCTCCCACAGCACAGCCCACTTTCCTGCAACGGAGTTCTTTTCGTATCTTTCAGCCCCGATTTCCCCCTTTCCACCCCTCTGCCAAGAGAGGTAGCAGCACCCATCCACCCCACCGCCCCCTAACCGTCCCCGAACAAATCCCCCATTACATTCCGTCCCACCCCATTGCGGCGAAAAAAGAAAGAGCGGAAAGCAGCGCGGTGCAGGCGGTGCCAGCCGCCCCTACCTGCATGCAGAGCCAGGAGCCAGGCGGCGGGCAGCAGGCGCGGGGTGCCCACAGCTCCCCACATTTCGGGCCGGCTGCGGGGCCCTGCTCTGCCTTGCGGTCCCGCTCCGGGCACGTCCCTCCGTGCTGCTGGCCCTAAGCCCGGGCAATTTTTTTTCCCTTTTTTTATTTGTCCCTCGCACTCTCAATAGAGCCCTGTGTGTTTCGCCTCCCCGGCAGCCCGAGCTGACACTTGCTTGGGGAGAAATCACCCAGATTTGCAATTTTCTGCCCCCTTTCCATGGGATGGCTGCAGAGTCCCGTGCGATTTGGGGAGCAGGGTGCCACGTCCCATTTCCTTGTGCTTTTTTTGCTGTTGTTATTTTTTGGGGGGGTCACATTTTGCAAAGCTGCCCCCACCTCCAACCTCCGCTCCCTTTTTGCTGTTTCCAGGCTGCGTTCCAGCTCCAGTGCCAATTAGTTCCCGGCACGGCTCAATGGGGCAGCGGGAGCGGGGCAGGCTGCCCGGAGCTGCGTCCCACAAAGCGCTGCCAGCTCCTCGCAGCAGCGCTGCGCTGCCCCGGGCTGCCGGCGTGGCTCAGAACGCATCCGGGGATGCTCAGAGGTGTTTGTGGGCGTTTGGGGGCGTTGGGGGCACTTTGGAGGATGCTCAGCGATTTTGGGGGAGTTTTTGGGGGGGAGCGCTGATGGATGCTTGGAGGAACATAGGGAGGTGATCTGGGAGGATTTTCGGAGATTTTAGGGGGATGTTGGCGAACGTTCGGGATCTTTCAGGGGATGCTTTGGGAGATGGTTTGGGGAATGCTACAGGGCAGCTCTGTGGGTGCTGGGAGGGGCTTTCTGAGGGAGTGCTCTGGGATGGTCCAGGGAACGCTGCTGGGTTGCTCTGGGGGACGTTTGATGTTGTAGGGGTGCTTCAGAGATGCTTGGAGGGACGTTTCGGGGGTGTTTTGGGGTGCCTGGTGGGATTTATGGGGGTGGTGCTCCCCAGTAAGTGATGTTTTCAGGGTTTAGATTGCGTTTTTGGGATGCTCTGTGGGATGTTTCAGGGAGATGCTCTGAAGGCTGTTTGTGGGTTGCCTCGGAGGATGTTTCAGAGGGATGACCTGGAGGGTGTTTTTGGGATGCTTTTGGGATGCTTGAGGGGAGATGCTCTCGAGGGCGACTGCGGGATGCTCCAGGAATTGTGGGGATGATGCTCTGTGAGGACTCTTTGGGGTCGTGCTCTGGACTGTCTCTAGAATGCTCTGGGGACGCTTTAGGGATGCTCAGGGATGTTTCAGAGCGATGTCCCGGGGGCTCCCAGGGCACGCACACCCTCCACACCACCCTCCCCCCCTCCACCCCTCACCCCTTTCCGCCCGCGGCGGGACGCGAACCGGGGACGGTGAGGGAGGGCGGCACGTGGGGGAAATGGGCGGGAAAACGGGCGGGAAAATGGGCGGGGCCGCGGGCGGAAGTGGCGCCAGGATTCAAACGAAGCGCTGAGGCGGAAGCGGCGGTTGGTGCGGTCCGCTGTGGGGCTCTGGGGGGCAGGAGTTCGAAGGGGGTCTACGGCTCAGGCGGGGCGAGTGGGGCTGTGCGGGGTGGCGAGGGGGGATGGGCCGTGGGTGCGGCGGGGTCTCTGGGCCGTGAGGGGTCGCACGGGGGCGGGGGATGGCGGTGTAGGCCGCGGGTCCGCGCTCACCCCCCGTTTCTCCTCAGGAGCGGCCCGGAGCCGTGCCGGAATGCCGCCTTCCTCCGGACCGCGGCCGCCGGCGCCACGGGGGGCCTTGGGACGTCCGGCGAGACCACCGCGGGCGGGACGGGCGCTGCTGGGCGAGAGGAGCCTGCGGGTGGCCCCGGTGGGCGCCTGGGTGGAGAGCGGCCCCCGCGAGCAGAGCCGTGCCTTCGTGAGTGCTGCCCGGCCCCGCCGCGGGGGTGACGCGAGCCCCACCTGGGGCTGCAGGCAGCCGGGAGCACGAATTATTTTCTCTGATGGGGCCCCGAGAGACCCAGGTGCCCGTGTAGCCCCCCCTCCCTTCTACATGCAGTGAATTTGCTCACTGCATTTTTTATGAGAAACGTTGATTTCAGAAGCGATCAGATGAAGGCCCTTGCTGATTCCATAGAGAGCTGCTGTTGATTACTTAATTTTTTACACCACCCACTGTAACTTTAGCTGGATCTCTGTTCTAGCTTGCTATTGGCAGCTGACCTCTACCATAGGTAACAAAGCTAACAATTACTGGCATTTTGCCCCCTACCAGTTCTCTTTGTATGGTTTGCCACCTCTCTGTTTGTGCCTAAAGGATGTTTGTGAGCAGAGGTTTTATTCCAAGTTACTGATTTAAAATAAAGAAATGCTGTAGGGTTTTGAGCCCACCTCTGAAGTACATCCATTAGAAATACTGAAGAAAATCTTCTCTGGTGCTTATCTCAGGGATTTCTGCTTTGTGGGTTATTGTAAGAGGACTAAAAGTGCATTAAGTATAGGATGATGAGTTCAGTCCCCTTTAATTAATGTCAAAATGTTACAGAAGCTCCTGTGCTTCTGCAATGATTTATTTCCATATTGTAATTTAAATTCTGAAAGGTTGAGATAATATATGGAAATGAATTGTCTCTGTATTCATGCAACTTCCACTGCCAAACTTCGAGATGAGCTGGAGCTTTCCTGGGGCTCAGGTTTTGAAGCCAACTGAGAGCTGCTGGTCGTTGTTGGGGGCTGAGCCTTTGCAGTGCATCAGAGCACCTTCTGCATGTTTGCCACATGCCAGCTGTGCTCTTGCCTCCCCTTTGCCCTTGTGCCTTCAGGTGTGGGCAGAGTTGTGTGAGGTTATTGAAGCTTGTTTAATACACCTGCATACAGCAGTGGGTCGTATTAAAAAATTAAATGAATGCCTTCAATCAGCATTGCTAATGAGATTGCCAGCAGGGAGCATGGCGAGTTGGAAATGGCATCTTCGGTGCTGCTAGTAGTGTGGAGTTCTGCCTGCCTTCATGCTGTGGTTGTGCCAATGGGGTCCTGCTGCCATTCGTTTTCCTGGCACTGAGGTGTGGGGTGCAGCCATCCCTGGGATTTGAGGCTGTAAAAGTATGTGGTGGGTGGTAGGATGTAACCCATACCAACCCCGCAGCCCTGTCTGTCAGCTGCTTACAGTGGCTCCACTTATTGCCCTTCGATCTCTTCCTCAAAGCTGTGTTTGATGTAAAGCAGTATAAAGCTGAGCATCTAAATAAATAAAACTGAATTACTCTGCAGCTGGTGACAATCTGCCCCTGCAGATCCCTTTTCCAGGGTTTTGCCCAGTGACTTATTTATCTGGCAGCCAGGAAATGGAGTTGGTTTTCTTTAAGCCTTGGTAGTGTTAGCAGGATTTTCTGTTGTGGCTTCAACTGGGAACTATGAAAACCTAATTTCTAGGTCATTCCTTTTAATCTTTCACTTTGGATGGTAAAATCACTGTCAGAGCAGTAGCTCTGCCTGTGCTGTGGTCTGCAGTGTTTGATATGCATCCAGCACTGCTCTTGCAAGACACTCAGTGACAAATGCACGGAGCATTAATGTGACCTGGGCCAGCCCCGTTCTTTGGCTTCGAATATTTGAGCATCCGTTTGTGGAACGGTGATCAGGAGTCACTGCATCAGGCTATGCTCTTATTTTTCCTTTCTGTGCATGGGGTCAAAGGAGGAAGCGTGTGTGCTCTGTAACAGCACCTGGCTAGTTAGATATGATTCTAGCCAGTAGCAATCCAGTGTACGTTGTCCAAGCTGGGACTTCGCACACTTGAAATAAAATATTACTATGAAGCTCACTGGGTGCTGCTTATCTGGCCTGTTGCTGCAGGTCTTTGGAGGGGAAGCAGGGATATGGGCTGCAGTGTTGCAAAACCACGTGAAATCTGCTTTCATCTCTTCCAGGCTTCAGCATTTCAGGTTGAGGAGGAGCTGAAGGAGCAGCAGAGGAGGAAGGCGATGAGGCTGAGGCACTTCCAGGGAGAGGTGAAGCGCCGGGTGAACCAGCAGGTCAAGATGAGAAGAAAGCAGCAGCTGCAGAGGTCTTGTGAGGCGGTGAGCAGCTCCTTCTCTCTGCTGTCCAAAGCAGTGCGTCCCTCTAAACCGGCGAAAAAACATTGTCAACCCCAAGTTAGGGTATCAGTAAGAGGAAACTTGTGGCTTCAGCACCACTGCTGCAAGTGGCAAACCCATAAGTAAGGCAGCCCAACATCTTGGCTTGCTCTGATGCTGGAGGTGCACTGAGCCTTCTGTTTCAATGGAAAGGTCTCTGGCTCTCTGGGGCAATATTTAGAGAACAAAGTCCTGCTGACCCCTCAGATCTTGAGTGTTAAAAAATAGCCAGGCTGAGTTGTGAATGGTGCAGGTGTCTCCTGGTTGTGTCAGGGGAAAGCAGCATGTTTCTGCTAGTCTCTTTACATAGCAATTCCCAAGCAGCAATTCCATGACATACTCTCATTTCCCTCCAAGAGCTTGTTTTAGATGATCCTTTGAATGTATTATTTAATCCTTCCTCCTCTTAAACTCCAGTGATGGTTGCCAGAAACTCACTGTACAGTGAGAAAGGGAAGTACTGAAATACCAACAATTCTGGACACCCTGAGGGTGTTTGGGCTGCTTCCAGCGATGAGAAGGCACGGTCGAGTGGGAACGTCCTCAGGTTACTGCCAGAACCACTCAGAGCAGAGAGCTGCCAAGCTGCTGGTGTTTGCTTGTGGTTCTTTAGAGTCCTGGTTTTAACCACAGGAGGGTGCGATCCTGTAAGCTCAGCATGAGCTTCTGCGGAAGCACGTGCCAGCCAGGTGGGAGATGATGACTGGAGATTTGCACGTGGTTTTTTTTACCCTGGCAGACAGAGAAGGAGAGCAACCTTGCCATGCAGTGCTTGGGCTCGGTGCTGCAGCAGACCCCCCAGAAGAACACGTGTGTGTTCCGGAGCCGCCCCCTGCCCGCCATCTGCAGCCCTGCTGCCCTGGCACAGCAGGAGGAGCACGGAGTGCCCAGCGAGCCCTTCCAGCAGCAAGCTGCCCAGGTGCGTGGGGCCCTTCCACCCTCATCCTTTCCACCCCTGTTCCATCGTGCTGAGTGCTTTAGGGTTAAGATGGAAAATGGGCGACGTTTTGTTTTCTACCCTCTTACAACACTTGCCTAGTATGTTTATATATTTTATGCTGAACGAAGCGTTGGCTTACGCTTGTTTTTAACAAATGTTGGTGTACCGCTCCATAGGACACTTGTACTTGCCCCGCTGCTTGCAGATACAGTGAATTTTTGTTAAAACCTGCTGCAAATCCTCAGCTGTGACCTATTGCTGTGCTGGGATGCCATGTTGGAGAGGA